AATTTAGAGAATGAGTCGTGGAAGAATGGAAAGAGTAGAGAATGAAAGGTTGAAGATAAAACAGAGAAAGGAGATATTTGAGAGCATTACTGGGTGGGGAGGCCTGGGTCCAGAAGGTTTGCTTTCACCTGGCGCAATATTCAGACCCCTGGGGAGTGGGGGAATAGTCTGTGCACATACAGACGACTTTGAAAATACCTTTTGAATCCTGGCTCTGCTGCTTCCGGCTGTTGATCCTGGGCAAATAGCATCGCTTCAGCTCAGTTTTCTTAGCAGTGACATCAGAATACTAAAGACCAGAACTCTGAGGTTGGGATTAAATGATGCATGTGAAGTGCTGGGCACAGTAGCTATCAAATGGTTAGTGGTTGGATGTTTAGTCATCATTACTGTGGTTGTCGCTGTGGTTATCTTAGAGGGAAAAGCAAGAAATTGAAGTAGTTACACCTAATGTTGTAAAGTCATACTTGAGGTACCTTCTGAGACTGAAGTGCATGAGATTGGAGCCAGGGAGAATGTTAGGAACTGTTGATAGGGATGAAAGTCATATGTTTTTATATTTACCCAGAGTCACCATTTCTGGTAAATCTATTTGTTTCTGGCACTCTTGTATCCCTTCTTTAAAGACTGACATTTGCTTCTGTAAAATTTCCCTTCAGCCTAAAAAGCATTTCTTATAATAAAGGCCCACTGGTAACAAATTATGACAGTTTTCCTTTATCTGAAAGTGTTTTGTTTTGCCTTCAGTGTTGAAGGGAATTTTAACTGACTTTAGAATTAGACTGACATGATGGTGGTGCTGGTTTCTTTTGGAACTTTAAAGATGTTCCACTGTCTTCTGTGCAGAATTATTTCTGATGAGAAATCAACCCTCCTTCTTGTCATTATTTCCTTGTATGACTTTCTATTTTCTAGCTGCTGTTAAGGTTTTCTCTTTATTTTTAGCTATTGGTAGTTTGATTATGACTTGCCTTGAATGGTTTTCTTTGAATGAATCCTGTTTTAGGATTCTTGGAAATGTGGGTTGATGTTTCTAATCAAACTGGGAAAAGTTTTGGTTGTTAGCTTTTGAAATTTTTTTTTTTTGCTGATTCTGTTTCTGCTCTCTTTATGAGAGTCTACTTTATTTTGCCCTGGAATTTCTTAAGGCCTGGTTTTTTCATTCCTTTTTTTTCTTCTACTTCAGTATAAACAGTTTCTTTTGTCTTGTATTAAGGTTTACTACCCTTTTCTCTGCAGTGTTCCAGATGCTGTTACTCAAACCTAATGCATTTTTATTTCTGGTATTATATTTTTTAATGTTAAGATTTTTGGGGCTTTATTTTGGAGTTTCTATATTTCACTTACCATTCACCCATCATGTTTATCATCTCCTTCTTTATTTTTAACATATATAAGAGCTTTTTTAAACTCTTGCTAATCCAATATCTGGATTATCTGAGAGTCTGTTTCTATTGAGTTTTTCTTTTCATTAAGGCTTGACTTTTTCACACCTAATCCTTTTTTTATTGTGTAGGGGACATACTGAACAAGTTGTAGAGATTCTTAGATTCTGTTACCTTGCTCTGAAGAGTGTTGAGTTTTAGTTTAATAGGCAATTAAATTTAATTTTATTTAATTTAGGCAATTAAATTAATTTTTTTTTTTGGAGAGGGTGGTTATTTACTAGATTTAAATTTTATTCAGATGGATATCTTTTGCTTTTTTTCTTAGTCCTCTGGTGTAACCCTCAGTCCTGAGGTGATGTTCTCTTTCCCAAAGCTGACCTTTCTGGGTTCTGGTGGAAAGCCCGAGGAGTTTACCAAGTCCTTCTAATTTAGTGGGACTAGGAAGTTACCTTAGGAGAAAACCAGTTTACTATAGGATCTGAGATCATTCTCTTCCTTTCCTTTAGAGATATTCACCCTTCCATTTTCTGCCTAGTTTTGATCACTCTTCAGTGCTTGCAAGTTGTTATTTCTTGTATTTGTCCAGAGTTTATAATAGTTATCTGTGGAGTGTTGGCTTGGTATAAACTACTCAGCCATTATTGGAATCAAAAGTTAGAAATCTAGTTTTGAGCAAAGCTGGTGGCTCAGCCATAGCAGTGGTGATGCCTGTGTTTTGGCATCAGTAAGTACATCTGTGGGAAGGTCTGCAGTAACTTGGTGGCCTGGTTGGGTGGGGAGTGTGGCCAGAACAGGTTTGAGAGACTGCACAACTAGGGAATGGATATACCCTTGATTTATAAGAAGCACAGAAGTGGGAATAAAACTGGGAGAGAGCTGGAGAGATAGGAATTGGGTCCTTACAGTCTTAGTTACCTCATTACTAATGATTTGGTGAAGTTGTTGTGAGAGGTAGTAAAGTATGTGGGTGACCAGTAAATGTTGATTATGGTTGTGGAGGCCTCTGAGTTGAACTTTGCCAAGATTTGATCCAGCTGGCACCAGGCTTGTCGTGTCATCTGGTGACTTCTCTGTCCTCCCTGGAAGCAGAAGTATCTTGTGTACATGGCAGGAAACAGGGCTGTCATTGTCACATCATCATTAATGGCTATCACCATCACCATCCATGCTACCTACCTTTGTAGGGTACATTTCTCTATGGTTCTTTACTAGATAGGATATTGTTACTAAACCCAAAATAACGGTGATTTAAGCAAAAAAAAAAAAAAAAAAAAGTTCATTTCTCCTCAACACAACAATCTGGATATAAGCAGTTCAAGACTACTGAGGTGGCTCCCTGAATCAAGGACCCCAGCTTTCTTTGTCTGGTTGATCTGTCATTGCTACTTTGTCACACCCATCTGGATGGGTCTGTAGGATATCACCATCTGTCTTCATTCTAAGCAGCAAGAAAGGGAGCAGCTGTGGGCATACTCCCATGCCTCCACAAAGGACCCATTCCAGAAGATATGTGCATTACCTTCACCTCCCAGTGACCAGAATTTAGCCACCCAGTACAAGAGAACTTGGAAAATAATGTCTTTATTTGGAGCATTTGTGAGACCATCGTTAAATTTGGAGTCCTGTTGTAGAAAGGGAAACACCCATAAAGGGATGGTCAGCAGCCACTGCCACCATCCTGTGCTCTTGCATCTGGCTTTTAGCTCAAGGTCATTTTACAGAAGGAGCCTGGCACTCCCTGGGGAGCCCAGTGAGCTCCGATGAGCTGAGAGATTTCCACCTGATTGTACATTTCTTCTTGTGGGTTTCGGAAGACAAAGACTGTCACTCTAACACAACTGTTAAGTGGATGTAGTATATCTATTAAGGAACAGAAATGAGTCCGTAAGCTACTCATCAAATCCACATATGTTCCCCAGTGGCTACACCATGCAGGAAAGGTGTGTTAAACTGGGAAAGAAAGTGATACCAAAATCTTAGCTCTGCTTCTCCCAGCTCTCACTGATTGACATAGTCACACTGAGCATGTCCTTTGATTTCTGTGGTCTGGCCTTTCATGTCCAAAGCAAGGGATTGGGTATCTAAGGTGTTTGTCCAATACCCACATTTTGGAACTTTATGGTCCCTGACACTCACATCTTTGCACTAAGGCAAGTTTTAGGAGGATGCAGCTCCTTCAGCTCCTACGTGGAACAAGTTGGATGTGTGCATTGCTTGTGGTCAGCTTGGGGGCTGCAGTCATGGGATGCTCTATTTCCTTGGGTTTTGCTTGTTTGTGGTTTTTGTAGTAAGAAGTCACTGCACAGTTTTCCATACAGTCTAGTTTCCCTTCTTAACTTTATTTTTTGTTTCAAAATGCTTTTTCCTACTTCTAGAACTGTTATATATTCATTGTCAAAAATAGAGAAAGGTATAGTGAAGGAAGCCTAAAAAAAAATATCATCCATAATGTCACTACCCAGACATTGGCATAATTAAGGCTTTATTTAGCACAGTCCCTTAACTTCAGTGTCTAAGAAAATATGAAAGATATATTATTTATCTACTTCATTCAATTAAGATCATGGTAAACATGATGTTTTATAACCTTCTTTAGTCCACTCAATGACCATTTTCCTAGATCTTTAAATATTTTTCATGAATGTGATTTTTAATGGCTGCCAAGGGTTCTGATCATATGAATATGCCATATTGTACTTGGGACATTCAGGCTATATCTGAGTCTTTGTTACTATTAACTACACCCCTGTAATGTTTCCATTTCATACTGGCAGCATTTAGCGCCTAGCACAGACACTCGGGGTAGATGAGGCCCAGAGAGGTTGGGTGGCCTGCCCAAGCCACACATTGAATGATGGAAAGGTCTGGGCCATCTGGCCACAAGGCTCACCTAAGCTTCCCTAGATGCCTTTGGTGCCAGGACAAAGGGGCACAGGTGTGACATCGGGTGCTAGGGACAGTTGGCTCCCAACATGTTGGTTTGGATAGAAAAGAGTCAGTTGGGCTTTCCTGTGAAATGCTGCCCTGGATGGTCCGCGATGCCCTGAGAAAAGCCGGCAGTCTCCACCCCCATAGAGCAGCAAGCAGCCCGTTCTGCCTTGCTACCTAAGCAGTGCTGAATCAGGCCCAGAAGTCTCAGTTACAGGGCACAGAGGAGAGGCTTGGGGAGCCTCGAGGGCCAGCTGCAAGGGAGTGAGGCAGGTGGGGCTAAGGAAGCTCTGCCAGAGAAACCACCCAGTACCTGCTTGACCTGCTTCCTTAGGCCCCCACTTTAAGGGGTGTAGGTGAAATGCTTTCTTTCCATGAGCCTTGTTCCTGAGGGGAGGGGTCTCCTCACCCAACTCTCTTATCCCGTTTCCAAAGCACTTTTGTATCAGTCTCTACAAAACTTGTCTTCATCCTTTTTAGTTCAAACTCACTTCTTCTGAGAGGAATGAGAGGGTTTACTGTTGGGATTTGGGGTGCAGGAACAGCCCAACAAAACAGGACCCACTCTAGGCTTGGCAGGGGGTACCCGCCTTTTGCTAGCTCTGTCATTGCCTGGATCACTGAGCTTTTTTCCCTTTGCCTGAGACCTCTTAGTGTTGACCTCCCTGTGCTTTTTTCTAACAGGCAACTATTGGGATTGACTTCTTGTCAAAAACCATGTACTTGGAGGATCGTACGGTGAGTGCCCAACTTTAGACCTGGTGGGACAGGGAGGGTTCCTTTGGGCTTATCACATGGACCCTGAGCACCGCTGAGAACCTGCCTACCATGGAGTTGGTGGTGCCAGCATCTCAGATCCCAGACTGCCCTCTGGCCCCCACCCACTGGGGCTGGAGTGATCTCCTTGCTCCCTGGTGACCGTCTGCCCACCTGCCACCCTGCCCTCCCTGCAACAGGTGCGACTACAGCTCTGGGACACAGCCGGCCAGGAGCGGTTCCGCAGCCTGATCCCCAGCTACATCCGTGACTCCACTGTGGCTGTGGTGGTGTACGACATCACAAGTGAGTGTGCGCCCCACGTGCCTGCTTCCTTGTTCTCTGAGTGCAGGAAGACATGAGTTCAGGTGGGGAATGAGTTGTGTGTTTTCCACCATCTACCACCCTCCTACAGCAGCTGTGTATGGCACTGGGTTGGCTTTCCTCAGAGCAGAGGCCTACATAGAAGAGAGCAGGTGCTCATGAGGCTGCCCTTTCCCTAGTCCCTCTGAACTCACCCTGACTCCAGAAAGATCCCTATGGAGTAACTTCTGTATATGTGAGAGAATAGCCTGCCCCTGGCCCAGCTGTGCCCCAGCTGCAGCTATTTTGCCAGCTAGTGACCTACCTCCTCACAAGACTCCCTGGGAGAGAAGACCTAGCAGGTCTAAGAGAGCTGTGGATGGGCTGCACTTCCCACACACCGTGACTTTCCTGGCCAGGGTAATTCTTCTTGACAGCCTGTGGGGCTGGGGCTCAGGCGGAGCCCCAGCTATGCCAGCAGGTATATGGAACACATGTGGTAAGCTCCTGGGCTGCAGGCACCCCTGTGTAGGAGGACACCTAAGTGCTGCCCCAGCCTTCTGCCTCTGCCTGCCCCCCTCCACCTCATCCCCCACCATCCTCTGCCCTAGTCCTGACTGCAGGGTCTCTGACACCTGAGTGCAGGTGGGAGCTGAGCCTTTGAGGGCCTGGGCTCCTGCAGCCTGATGCTGAACAGAAGGGAAACTGAGTCTCCACAGAACAGGCTGGCTTCCCTCCCCAAGCATGCGGGCTGCTGAGTGGTGGGCATGGCCTGAGTGGTGGGCATGGCCTGAGTGGTGGGCATGGCCTGACTGCTGCCCTGAGAATTCCACCACCTCTTGGGACTGAGGAGGCTGAAATGGCCTTCCCATCTCCTGGCTCTCACCTATCCCTGGGGCCACCTGCCCCTCTTATGTGCAAAGCCTGAGGTTTCTCTTAAGAAACATCTTTGGAAAGGCTTGGGTCTCCCCGCCATGGGCTGCTATAGTTCCTCCCTTGCACTGTGTGCAAGCTCAGCCAAGTCCGGTGCACCCATCTCTTGCTCTCTACTCTGAGCCTCCAAAGTCAGGTCTGCCTGTCTTGCCTAAAATGATACATAGATCTAACATAATCCCCATAAAGATACTGACAGTATTTTTCAAATAAATAAAAAAATTGAAATTTATATACACCATTTTAAAGACTTCAAATTGCAAAATCAGCTCTGGAAAAAAAAGGAGAAAAATGGAGATATCATGTTACCTGGTTTTAAACTTTACTGAAAAACAATAATACTGAAAACAATAGGGAATTAGCACAGAAGTAAATATATGGATTCGTTGAACAGAGTCAGAAGCCTAGAAATAAATCCATATATGTATCATTACCTAATTTATGACAAAGCAGCTATGGCCATGCAATGGGGGAAGGACAGTCTCTTTAATAAATGATACGGGAAAATGGAAAGCCACACATAAAGAGTGAAGTTGGATCACTTGTTAACCCCATTCTCAAAAATAAACTCCAAGTGGAGTAAAGATTTATATATAAGACCTGCAGTAATAAAACAATCAGAAGAAAATGTTGGTGATTCTATGACATCAACAATAAATAAGTTTTGGTGACTATAGCAAGAGATATAAAATAGTAATAAATAATTGCAAATAATTGCAAAAATCCACAAGTGGGTCAGCCTCAAGTTTAAAAGCTTTTATATGTTAAAAAAATACAAAATGACTAGAAAGACACTCTATTGAATGGAAGAAAATAAGTCACAAATATATAACTGATAAGAGATTAATATCCAGGACTCAACACAATTCAACAATTATAAAACAAACCCAATTTATAAATGGGCAGCAGATATGAACAGACAGTTCATCAAAGAAGATATTCAGAAGGACACTAGGTATATGAAAGCATGTTCATCATCACTTCCAACAAGAGATGCAGGTTAAAACCACTGGGCAGATACCATGTCATGCCCATGGGAAAAGCACTTATTAAAAAGACCCTCAACAACCAGTATTGGGGAGGATGCAGAGAAAGAGGAACTAACTGTGTTACACTGTTGGTGGGAATGTGAACTGATGCTCCCATTATGGAAAGCAATCTGGATTAAACTTAAAAATCTAAAATGGAAATACCCTATGATCCAGCAACCTCACGTTTGGGCATATATCCAGAGATTATGAAACCATCAACACAAAACCCTGCATGTTCTACAATGTTCATAGCAGCTCTATTCACAATAGGTAGGACGTGGAAGCTGCCTAAATGTTCACTGATAAACACTTAGATCAAGAAGATGTGGTGTAGTCACACCATAGGATACTTTTCAGCCATGAGAAAGGATGAAATGCAGCCTTTTCAACAAAAAATGGAGGGAGTTAGAATTATGGGTAGCCAGTCAGAATGATAAAAGCAAATACATTTATGTAACAGACAATTTGATAACATAAAATACCTTCAAAAACCAGTGGGCATCAATAAACACTGTGAGGACTCTGAGGTTAGGAGGGAGTGGGGAGGGAAACAGGACCAGGAGACAGAAGGTATGGTGGTGGGAGGAAAAGAAAAAGAATCAGGAAGGAAATAAATAAATAATAAAAACAATGTATATTTACCCATTAAAGGTTTTTCTTATTATGATGAAACAAAAATAAAAGTCAGGTCTGGCTATCAGGTGGGCCCCTAAAGCTGCTGCTGTCCATGCACCAAATCATGACTGCTGGGACTTCCAGACAGGTGCTTCTGCACAAACACTGGCTAGAATATAAGCATCTCTCCCTGAGCGGCAGTGGCAGAAACAAACGTGGGCCTCCTCTGGAAGACTGGACCCACTTGCCTGTGTGCCCGTGCCCCCACATCTCCTGGGTACATACTCCCTCCCTCCTGCTCCTGAGCTATGCCCCTTCCCAGCTCTCACCTCTCCATGAGGCTGCACTTAGTACCTATTTTATTTGCACCTTCCATCTGCAGATCTCAACTCCTTCCAACAGACCTCTAAGTGGATCGATGATGTCAGGACAGAGAGGGGCAGTGACGTTATCATCATGCTGGTGGGCAACAAGACGGACCTCGCTGATAAGAGGTAGTTTTGAGGGCAGAGGCGTGGAGTGGGGCCTGCAAGCTGGGCCGACCCTCCATCCTCTACAGCTCCTCCTACAGAGTATGGGAGGGTGTGGGTCATGAGTCTGTGCTTCTGCCCTGCAGCACCTGGTCTGGGGTCCAGCCATGGCCACAGGATAGCTCCAGACACAGCATCTCCTGCAGTGTGTGTCTCTGTCCCCGTGGAATGCTGGGTATGGGTGTGGGTATGAGAGTTCTGGTCTCCGGGGGTCAACATGTCATGTCAGGTTGGGCTACTTTCTCTGAAGAGGCTGCTTTGAGGCTGTTCCTCAGGGCTGACTTGGGTGCCACTTACATGCTTCTGTTCCACTCATCTCATGAGACCCTGACTTGTCAGGTAAAGCAACAGGTTTATAGACTGTGGACTTCCTGGAATGCACACTGACCATTTAAGGAATAATCTGAAATAGAGGCTCCTTTATTAGAATCCTGTCCTTGAAGTAAGGAAATCAGAGTTCAAATCCTAGCTCCTTTGTTAAGTATCTGTGTCCCTTGGGGCGGTCGCTCTTTACCTCAGTATCCCCATTTGGAAAATGGGACCGATGCCCTTCCAGAGAAGTGGTACATGGCTCAAAAGTGCTTTACAGCTCAGGCTTTGGCCGTGGTGACTCCTGGTAAAGGCAGCAATTGGGCAGCCCCACTGCCTGCTGCCAAACAGAAGGAGTAGGGTAAGGACGGTGCCCTTAGCCCTCCAGGGAGCCTGGGCCTCAGCGCCCTGTCCTCAGGGCTGACTCAGGGCCACTGGGCCCCGCTGCTGGACCAGCCCTCATCTCAGTCCTCTCTCTGCCTCCTTCAGGGGCTGCCTCCTGCTCAAACTGACTTTCCCTTTTGCCCTTGCCTTCAGGCAGATAACCATTGAGGAGGGAGAGCAGCGCGCCAAAGAGCTGAGCGTCATGTTCATCGAGACCAGTGCAAAGACCGGCTACAACGTGAAGCAGGTAAAACGCCCTTGTTGCCGAGCCCGAGTCCAGCTCAGCTACAGCCCAGCGTGGTCAGCCATGGCGTGGGCCTGTCTTGCCCTGAGGGGCTAGTGACTGGGCTTGGGTGACCAACCTGAGCACCCATACATCCTCCTCATGGGGAACAAGTTAACCTCCAGAGTCGGTAAGCTTGTACGAGGGAAGGAGCAGTCTCCATGGAGGGGGTGGTCGTCATCCTTAGCCACCATGCAGCAGCCCGCCATGTGTCCCTGTAACACAATGTGAGTGTCCAGCCACCAGCTTCCAGGTGACTGAGAGAAGCTGTGTTTCCCTGGCATCTTTCCTCACTTGGAAAGGGGGTCAGGAAAGTCAATCTAGTCACTAGTTTTGGGATTTATGCGCTGTGCTTGCAAGTGCTCAGGGCAGTGGAGGACCATCTGTACTCGAAGAAAAGAGCACACCCTGGTGTGGCCAGAACTCCCAGCATGCAGAGACCTAGCGAATCAAAATGGAGGCGCCATAGAGGGGTAGGTGGGAGTGGTGTTGAGCTCCAGAGTATGGGAAGAGAGGGGGTCTGCATGAACCCCCAGGGAGTCCATGGACTTTGGTTAGGAAAAAAAACTATGCCTTTACCTTTACTAGCTGAGTGTTAGCTTTTCCCTCGTGACAAGACTCCCTCATAGCAGCAGGAGTGACGGCCCAGGAGAGTCGCAGCTGTTTTCACTGGCCAGTCCTGTGGGCTTCTCGCAATTTACGGCATCGCTACTTCAGTGTCACAGTGGTTATTAGACCCCTGCTAGCTCTTGCTGTTTAATATGTTCATAAGGAAGCACAGATGTTGCTTTGGGCATAAATTTGTATCTTTAAAGATTTTAGAAGTTTATTTCATTACTAAGTGATTTTCTTTATATGCCAGTGTAAGTGATTGCTCACATTTAGAAGGAGACTATAGGCTCTCCCAGGCTGACAAAAAGGCCTTTGATTAGACAAAGCTTAGGGACCCCTGTCTTCAAGGAAGGGAGGGCTTGGAGAAGTGACAAGGTGGGAGGGTGCGCCTGGCAGGGTGACAGCATGGGCACAGGTGTGGGGGAGGGGTACCTGAGATGTGGAGTGCCATGCTGAGTGAGGAGAATGACTTGCCTACGGGTCACTCTTGCCCTTTGCCCCCAGCAGTGCTTGGGAACACTAGACACGCTGCCCGTGCAACCACTGGGCTGGTTAGTGATGGCTCACCCCATGTGGGCTGTGCTGGTGGCAGTGGGGAAGGTGGCAGAGGAGCAGGAAGAGGTAGAGTGGGAGGCCCCAAAGCTCCCAGGGCTCAGTGACTCCCATCCTCCCCAACTGAGTGCCCTTAACTCTTCTCTCTCGCAGCCCCTCTCCCACCTCCTCTGGTGTACGACTGGGGCTGCCATGGCTTCTTGGAGGGCTGGGCTGCTGCTCTGTGCAGTACTGAAGGAAAGTCAAGGGAGTTGTGGGGGCAGCACCAGGCTGACACAGGGGCAGGAAGCCTTTGTCAATATCGGGGAGATTCTGATACTGCCCTTCCTAGAATGCTCTAGAAGCTACGTGATAGTCTGAGCAGGAGTTAAGTGTGGTCAGTACTAGCCCTGTGTGTTGCAGAGGGAGAGTCCATGCTGAACTGTAACCGTGAGCCTGTCCACATTGAGACAACCACGTTACCCCAGCAGCTTTCTTCTAACTGGCAGTTTGGCCATGGGCAGAGGCAGTGACTTTTTACAGGCAGAGTGTGCCCTTTGGGGCAAGGCCATGAGTGAGAGCTCATGAGGAATGATCCAGGCCCTCAACCCTCAGCCTCTCTGCCTGCCCTACTCTACAGCCCACCATGGGGTCACACACACTGCCAAGCCCACTCAGGCCCTCATCCCCTTTGGAACCTGCCACCTAGTTTGGATGTGCTGTAGGACTGGGCTCTGGGGTAAGAACATGAATATATAACTCTCTGTCCTTAGAGAGCTCACAGAGTGGAGGAGTTAGAAGCCCAGAGCCCAACGAGTTTCTGCAGTTGTTATTTGGAGAAGGAGGAGTGTTGAGAATCTTCCAGTGCTTTGTACTTGTGCCTGTGCTTGTGGTCACCTGCTAGGTTCCATGTCTGACAGCACCCCAGCTGCTCTTCTGTGCATCTCTATCCCAGGGCATGTGTGTGCATGCATGCACGCATACACACACACATTCACATCCCCCTCACACAGATTCACACACACAGATGTGGCAACATACCCACATCCACACATACATCACACATACACACATGTCTACACACAGTACACACATCACACTTAACTGCACCCAAACACACCCATAGCATCACACTCACACACATCACACTCACAGGAAAGTGTCTCTGCTGTAACTGTGACCCAGTGCCCAGCACCCAGTTACCTTGATGCTTGTGGACTTGCAGACCCCCCTGAGAAGAGGGTCTGATGCCTCCAGGGAAAGTCAAAAGTCAGTTCCCCACATGGCAAGTGGGACAGAAGCCGGCCTGTGGGCTCCTATTTCTGAGGTCTAGATCCTTTTCTGCACCGGGATGGGTCCTTGTGGCCATCGTGACACATGACCTGTGGCCAGCCCGCCTGCATGAGAGGTGCTGGAATGGGTGAAAGAGACGCCAGGTGCAGCCCCTGCCCTCCAGGGCACAGTCAGTGGGACAGACAGGAGATGAAACCCAAGGTCAGCATGAGAGAAGGCCAGATTGATGAGGCCCGGGGCAGCAGGAGAGGGGAGGCAGGGCTCATGCTGTCTCCCCTTCTCTCCAGCTCTTCCGACGTGTGGCCTCTGCTCTGCCTGGAATGGAGAATGTCCAGGAGAAAAGCAAAGAAGGGAGTATCCTTTTTCTGTGCTGAGTGAGTGAAAGATGTACTGGAGAGTTCATTTATTCATCAGTTTATTCACTTGGTGTTGTAGAACAGCTGGCCATACTTGCCTGGTTTCGGGCCCCACCTTCCCGAATGTGGCTTCCCAGCTGGTGGGTGCAGTGTGGGGCTCCTCTGCACTGGGGTGAGGCTGAGCTCATGGTCTTTAAGTCCCATGCAGCTCTAGCCATCTAAGCTTCTCCTTCCAAAGCAGTGTGGGGCCCAAGGGGGTGTATAAGGAGTGACGAGCAGGGTAGGGACACCCTCTTTCACAGTAAGCGTTGCTGTGTCTGCGGGGACAGGGGAAGGCCTCGGTGCACTGATCTAGGGTTCCAGCGTGGGTCAGCCTAGTCAACGAGACAGCTCTCCCAGCAGACCCTCCTCCTAGGCCCAGCCCTCAACAGCCCCCAAGCTCCCTTCTGCTCTGCCCACCCACACCTCAGACAGCACCAAAGTTGAAGTTGAGATTCAGAGAGGTCAACTGACTTACCTCAGAGGAGGGAAAGCAGTTGTTACCTCGTTACTTGTTTATTTATACTTTGCCATGTAAAAAGCATGTCTCTGTATACACACACAATGCATGTGCATACAAATGTAGAGAAAGCACATGTGTACAGGTACGTATTAAGAAAATTAGGGCATGGGGCGGGGAGGGGGAGGAAGGAAAGGTCAGAGGTAAAGTCTAACTTCAATTTTGTCATGGCTAAGTGAGAAAAATGTGGCAAGCAGGGCAAGTGTGATCTTCAGGGAAAGCCGGGCTTTTCTTAGTACTTGCAACTGAAAGACTTGTTCACAGAGTCTTTGATAGGGGCCCCCAAACCATCCACAAGACACCAGCACTAGGTCCCTAGTGGGGTTGTTTTACCACCCCCACCCCCGAGGCCCTGAGTGCCCAGGAGTGCAGTTTTCAGACCGTGTCCTGTGGTCGGGCCGGACTTGTCATCATCTTTAGCTTGGCAAGTGCAGAGGCCTCAGCCTGGCTGTGCAGCTTGAACCCACTGTGCTACTGGTTCCGATGGATGTTTCTCCAGCCCCGCTGGAGAGGATGGAGACCGGTTGTGCTGGGGCCCTTCCCCAGGGATGTGGCTTCTTACAACAGCTTCCTCAGGGAATAAGGGACACCCAGAGACTCCTCGAGGGTTCAGTATTTCTGCTGCCAACAAGACCAAGGCCTAGGTAGTCCTGTGCGTTGAGATGTGGGACCCATACCTGCCCCAGGGGCTCTCCACCTCCCAGGGCACTTTGGGGTGGGGCTGACAGGTGTCACGGCCATGGCTGGGAGCTGGCACTGCTCACCAGGGAAAGACTTTGAGAAAGTGACTGTCCCCCCTGTGTTTAGATGGTCATCCCACGGCCCAGGGCAAGCTTTGCTTCAGGGATAGTGGTGCGGGCACATGGGAGGGTCAGGGCAAGAGAAATAGGGGTGGGAGCCGGCACTCTGTCCTGCCCAGGTCAGGCAAAAAGCCGAGTCCCTGGGCATTTGTGGAGACACAGAGCAAGCTGCCTGGGGTGGGGGCTGCGCAGGGCAGCTGAGGGTGCACAGATTGTGAGCTGTTGGCTGTGCCTCCCAGCGTTGTCTTCCTTAGCCCAGCCCCTGCAGTGATCGACATCAAGCTGGACAAACCCCAGGAGCCCCCGGCCAGCGAGGGCGGCTGCTCCTGCTAATGCAGCCTCACCTCTGGCTTCCTCTGACACCACTCGCTTGTTGTGTTGCTTCCTATTGGTTAGCTTCCTAAAGGGGGGTGGGAAATAAGCTCATCAGATGGGAGGATTTTTCTTTTCTCTCTGTCTCTAGGAGTAGGGTGGGGGGGGGGAGGCTGGGCATCAGGGATCACGTCACTCTTAACAGCTGTTACTTAAACAACTATTTTTTGGTTTGGTTGTAATATATTGTACTTTATTAAGATTGCCAAAAACTGTTAAAATTTAAAAAAAATTTAAATCATGTGTATACTACTTTTTGCCAGATAAAAATGTAGTCATTTTTATTTGAAAAATGTGCTTTTTTTTTGTTTTTGTATATTTGTAAACTTATAGAGAACCTTTCCACACACCTCCTCCTTCCTGTCTGTCCTCTTGGATCGGCTCACACCTCTGCCCTCCTCCCATCCCCCTGCCCAGGAAGTAAAAATAGTTACCTGGGCAACTTAATTAGGCTCCAGTTCTGGGTCTGTACAGGCCCTACCTAGTTAAATCAAACACTGATTGAACAAAACAGCCTCTGAAGAGGTCGCTCTGACTGGCCTTCCGTGGCCAGAATGGGACATTAGCCTGGCTCCAAGTTGAAATTAAGGCCCTGTGGAATGCAGGAAGCCCTGCAGAGGCCCCGGGGAGTGACGTCCTCTCCCTTCTCCTCCCTGGAAAGCCTTGAAGGGAGTGGAGGACACTTGTGTTCCCTGTGGCCTGCCTGATTGTCAGAGCAAGAGGGCACTGGAAGAATGGGGTGCTGCTGGCGACTATGGGCTGTATGGATGTGCGGGTTGTCGACTTGGGGCACCATGTGGAGTTCTGAGGATGTTTTCCCCAACCTGCCCAGCAGTCAGCACACGTATCTGGGCTGAATTTAAAGAAAGGGCAAAGAGAAACTCAGTTTGTTCTCCTTGGAGCTCTCCTTCATCTGTGACTGGCCAGGGGAGGGTTTTCTGGAGAACCTCCACCCTTAAGATGCATGTTCTCAGATCCTCAGTTGCTAACACTGCTGAGCGCTGCTCTGGAAAAGCCAGCTCTTGCCGTGTTGTTGCCCACTGGTGCAGGAAATTGTAGTCCTCGAGCACGTACCTTTGTGGGTGCTGGAGCGGCTCTGTGGCCACCTGAAGGGAGGGCTGAGGTGGGGGGCGCCAGAAGGCTGCCCAGAGAAAGCTGTCCTTGCCATTTTTGAATCATTTCTGAGAAGGGCTCAGTCCCGAGGACCTGTAAAGTCTGAAGAGAATTCTCTTTTCTCACTAAGTGATGCCACCCACTGGGCTAACATTCCAAATACACCGAACCCCCAGCCCGGTCTGCGCAAAGTAGGCCTGGGCAGCCATGCTGGCCCAAAACAGTCAGCCCCACTGTTCAAGGTGACTCGGGTTTCCCCACAGGCTGCTGCTGGGCATGTTATAGGTGGACTAAATGACCACCTGGGGGGCTAGGGGGTGCCTCCACAAAGCAGGGCTCCAACAAGTCGTTGCAATGAATTTTGGGCTTCTCAGAAACTAATTCAAAACGGTAGTCAGTGAGTGCAGCAAAACCTGTCAGGACTCACTGCTGTTTGTCCACTGGACCTGTCACATGCTTTCAGCTAAGGAGACAGCGTGACAGTATATCAGAGGAATTTATCTTCAGGTGAAGAAAAGAGGAAGCAGGATTCCTAGCGGGCTTTTCCAGAAGGCAAAGACCAATGTAGGGACGTAACTCCAGTGTCATGTGTTTAGTTTTTATATGTGTGTACATACTTATATATAGAGATAGACTTGTGTATACACTTTCCACAAACACATTCACACAAAGATAAATGTGCTCGATGTATATTCTTGCTTTTCCTGCTCTCAAGTTGGAACTTGCATTGTGATAACAGTTTTGGGAAATTCAAAAGTACTGCAACGTGTTGAAATAAGAATTACTTAATATTGTCAAATTTGTGATTGTCTTGCCATCAATAAAATAATGCATAGATGTGTTCAACTGCAGGCAAAAATAGCCCACGGGAACGTGTGCACCATTTCCTTTGTGCTTATATGCACGGGCGTATATGCCCACGTGGGCCAGTGTCCTCCCACGCGGCACACCCCCTAGTGGTGCTGGCTGAAAGAGTGCTGACTTTGCAAGAATTTACAGGAGTCCATGTTGTAGCATCTGGCCTGGCTGGCAGTGAGGGCCATTGCTCGTGGCCTCTGGGATGGTCCCATTTGCAGGGGTCTGCAGTGAACGAATGTATGTTGGATTTTTATTTTCTTGGTAAAAAGAGTAATTTTTATTATTATGGTCCTGTAAAAAAAAAAAAAGTAGAAACTCAGTTTACTTTTCATGTGCACACATATCTAAGGCGCCATGAATTTTTTTTCCCTCACTGCCTAGAGGAGCAGTAAGAGACAGAATCACTCGGCTTGACATAGCGTCAGTGAGCCCTGCCTCTGCCTGCACGTACACAATATCCTCTCTCTGAGTCCAGCCTCTCCCCAACTTGTGGGCCTCTAAAGGTGAGGGCAGTCACCTCCTCTTGTGCTCCCATCTTAGTGTGCCATGCCTCACCCTGCCTCTCCTCAAACCTGAACAGCCCCCCTCCCTCCTGGGGTCTCTCAGGGCAGCCAGACTCTTGCACAGAAGTGCATTGGTCCCTTGGCTGTCGTAAGCAGGTGCCATCACTGTCCTCTTGCTCACAGGTAGATTTAGGGTTCTGTGATGAAATGATCTCATTCCCTCGGCAACCTCAGTGAGAGTATCACACCCCAAGCCGGGTGGGCCGGCACAAGGCGAATGGAGGAATCCTGTTAGGAAATGATCTCATCGCAGTCAGTCATTCATCCCCTCTCCCCACTGGCCGAGACCTGGGAGGTGAGTGGGGTCATCATCCTTTGGCTTTCTTTAGGGGGGAAGATCTGAAAGAAAAGTTGCAGTAAAACTTCTCTTTTGCAGGCGTCAGAAAACTTCAGTCTAAGATGGAAAACACTGTTTGTGGGATGCCCACATGTCAGAATGAAGGTGTGACACCAGCATGTAGGGTGCTAGAACTGAGGGTGTGTAGTGCGAGGTTAGCACGCTTGCTGCTTTGAAGCAAGTTTCCTTTGGTTGGAAACCGCCTTGTTGTCATTCCCACCGCTCTCTCCCGGTGCGCATCCTTGATCATTCTGCAATATTCCCAGGTCTGAGGCGCAATGGCCAGGTCAGTTCAGTGTCTCAGGCAACAACGGAGGTTGGAAGTGGTGGTAACTAAGGGTGCAAACATTTCCGTCCTCCTGGTGGTCAGCCAGTGCTGGGAGCTGCTGCCCTCAAGGACCAGGTGGGATAATGGCACCGCTGGCTTCGGTGTCCTGCAGACAGAGCAGCGTCATTCCCTCACCAGGCGGAAGGCAGGTGAGGACGTCAGTTGAGAACAGGGAGCCGAGGAATGTGAGGCGTGTCTGAGCCACGTGAGAGGCAGCTAAACAGATGTATGTGCACGCCAACCAAGCAGGGTTGCATGCCCACTAGTTTCCAAACTACCTCTGCCCTTTGAAAGTGAGGCGTTGTCCGCGGGCTGCACGGTGAGGTAGAGGCCTCATAACCCTTCCTGTCCACAAGCCGCAAAACCAAGGCAGAGAAGGAGGACTTGCCTATGGTCACCCAGCAAGTTGGAAGCGGTCTTTGTTCTTTGTGGCTTGTCTGCGTGTGCAATGTGACTGTGCACTTGAACACAAAAGGCTGCTATGCACGGGGACCCCTCTAATAGCTTTACCCTGGTTAGAATGTAAGTTCTCACCAGTGTTTCTGAATGAGCCGAGGAGAATCCATGTAATTTCAGGTTCCTGTACTGCACAGATGAGCCTGTCCCCACTTCACTCTGATTGCCTTGGGCCCCACACAGACCTGGGCACCCTTAATTTGTGGGAACCAGCTTTGTAGGTACTCTGAAACCTTGGGTTCTTGATGTGTAAACTCCTTGGGCTTCAGACCCTGTATGGCTGACACTACTGGCCGGGCACGGCTTAGAAGAAAACATTGCAGTGGGATTTGGATGGTCACTTTCAATGGGAAGCCTCCATACATTGAAGGCCAGTCTGTACGTGCTGTGTGTTAATTCTCCCTCAATTCCCTCACCCATTCCCAAAAAGTGACGGAGGAACACAGAGAGTGGCATTTCCATCTCTTACTGGCTCAACAGGCATAAATGGCCATATTGACTTTACATAAAACTGTGTAAAATGTGGAAGACTCAGCATGTTGATCAAACAATAAATTGTCCTAATTCTCAACACAAGCCTCTTGTCTAGTGTCTCTGAGTTGCGATCATATACGGGGGTGCAAAACCAGACTTCTTCAGTGCATGCTCCATGAAGAGCCTTTCAGTTTGGAGGGCGTGGCCACCATGCAAAGCCCTTGGCTGCTTCCTCCTTCTCACCTGGGCTCTCCTATTCAGGAGAGGTCGGACACACTGAAGACATTAGATCCGCAGTCACCTCCCCAACCTCCATTCTGTCAAAAAGCTGATGGAAAGGGAAACTAAGCAGAACTGAGAGTCAGGTGTGTGACATCTTCATCATCTCTAGTCTCCACTTGACATGGCCTGTGGTGATGAAGGCTGAGATGCAGGGACCGATCTCTCCTTTCTGGTGAATTCTACAAAGCCATTTTAAGGCAGGAATTTAAGGTGAACCCCAATCACCTCCCTGGTGACACCACACTGCCATTAGCACTCCCAGCTTTATCCCACGCCAATCGCAGGGCTCCCAGAGAGGATGCTTCAGGCCTCTCTCATCTAGACTAAAAGACACCCTCACACCAAAATTACAGGACTAATCCAAAGAGGACACAAAGGCCAGGCGAGGCCAGATCCAGAATCGCCATGTCCTGGAAATGCTGGGAGCCCTGGGGCTGTGCAGTAGGCCAAGTTCACCAGGATCCCATTCTTCTTCAATTCTAACTTCACTAATTATCTTTGCCCTTTAAAGGTCCTGGAAGACCTTCCAGTCACCATCTTAAGGAAACTGTCTCTGATTAGAAGGGACAGGACAGCTTTTACTTCTCTGTAAGGCTGGTTGCAAAAATGTATAAATTCTATAAACTGTAAATTGTAAACTATGAGATTGAGGAGATGTCAAGGAGCAGAGGCCAGAGCGCCCAAGTGCAGATGCTTGTATGGAGCAGGCTCAAGCCGTCCCAGGGCAACCAGTAATCCCCCAGGACTATGGCATTCAGAGCACCATGATGTGAGGCAGCAGAGAAGGAATGAGCCATGTGGGGTTCACACTGGCGGCTGCCCCACAGCCAGATGAGGGAAGCACTGTTGGGATTCCCCAAAAGTGAGTGATTAGAGTTGAGGTGATGTCCTGCCCAAGTCCTCATCGTGGCCTCAAGAGATGCTGCTCGAGGTGGCTTTCCTTATCAATGCTTTGCCATCATTGACCAGGAGTGGAGGAAGGAGCTTTACTATTTCTATGCCAAACTCAAATTAGAGAAAATTACATTTCAGCTGAAACAAAGCCATCCTAAGTCAATAGCACACCACTTACTTTACACATAGCAGGACCACGGGATGCCAGAATCCCAGGAAGTGCTGAGACACTGCAAGAAGCGGCAGCCCTGTTGGACAGGGACAGTGGGGGTGAGCTAGTTGACCTTGGGGCCCACAAAGTGCTTGGGGTTCAGTGCAGCCATGATGATGCTCATGCTGATGAGTTAGAGAGGAAGGCAGCCACACTGAAAGATCACGTCTTCACCACGGAACATGGCCATAATCTTCTAAAAGCAGGGATTATGCTTTATTGAGCCTGGCTGTGCTTGGCGTTGCTGAGTGAACATGCAAGGCTCTCGGGAGTCATCAGCAGTTCAGGGCTTCATAGCTGGAAAGAGAAATGGGATGGCTTCACTGTGCAGACGCCAAGTGTGGTAACCGCTTCTCTTTAAAGATGTGAAGGGTTGAAACAGAGGAGGTAAGTAGCTTAATTGCTGCTAATATCCTTCAGGTGAGAGAAGAGGCCAAGCCAATTGAAGCTGTAACTATGTGCTAAACTCAAACCTCAAGGAAAAAAAAAAAGTGTCAAGTCTGGCGTCTGGCTGGCTGAAATCATCTCAGGTCAACAGAACATGGCCAAGTACCTCACACAAAGCAGGATTACCGGAATCCCAGGAAGCTCCAAGTAGAAGCTGTGGGGAAAAAATGAGTGGTAGGCCCCAAGCACACCCCACTGGCAGAAGCTGTGTTGATCAGGAACTAGGCCCCCAGGAAACTGTCAGGTGCCTGGCGAGGGGAGGGGCTCCCAAGGCCTTGGAAGCCTTGAAGGAATTTTGAAATAAGAGCAGGAATAAAGAACAGCGGGGCTGGTGCCCAGACCCTGTCTGCAGGTGTGGGCCATACCCAGTCCAGAAGGGGGCAGCACTTACCCACCAAGTGCCCAGGGCTATTCATCCCAGCTGCCCTCCATGATGGCATCTCATGGTGACCCGAGCCATCCCTTATGAGCAATGGGGTTATATGCATCAGGTGGCAACCAGGTTCTTTCTAAGGGTGCGCCCAGAAGCCCCTTGTGCCAGGTAAAGGGCACGTTAAGCAGATTCTGGAGCATGCACCTGATCTGCTACTGAGCTGAATATTTAGGAGCAGGGTGCTCAGACCAGTTGTTAACTAGCAGTACAGATCATCTGATGCACGCTAACCGGAGACAGTCACATGAGATATAGCTCCTTTTTCAAAAGATCATCGTTACGCCTTAAAATTCAACCTTGCTCCCCTCTGTCACCTTTTTGGTATACCCCTTCCTCTAATAAAGTAAGATATATATACTTTGTCAACCAGGAAAACAGCAAAAAAGGCTGTCAAACGTATGCCTCTGTCACACAAGTGCCGAGTGACTTTCATGCATGTGAGCATCTACGATTATCATGTTACCAAATTTTTTGTGATTGCTGGTTTCATTTTACATTATTTGGCTAGTAAGGAAAGGGCAAGAGACAGAGCCCAAAACACAGAACTCTAGCAGCAATGGGTTTTGGAGTAAGAACTTTACCTGGGCCAAGGTCTAATGTGTTTCAGCTTGCATTTATTTCACACACCAGCACCAAGGCTGCTACAGGATCCACATACTTCCCAGTTAGGGTAACCACTAGAACACACTAGACCCTTGACATCTGGGCACTTAGCACTTAGGAGTTTACCACCTGGGAGTGACTCCAAGGGTTCATGATCTATTTTTAAACTCTTAAGTACCATGAGGCAGGAGTGTGGACAAGTCTCTGAGCTGATGAAGAACAGACCCACTGTTAAGTCAGCCTTGCTGTTTTTTACCTTTCATGACACCAGAAACTGTAATGTAATTGTACCCACAAATCTGAGAATTCACAAAGGACTAGGTGATGCACTGCCTGGGAACATCAGCGCAACTGAAAATCAACTGGTTCCTAATACACGCAGGTTTGTTTCCAGGAAAAAAGAAACAAGTATAGAAACAGAGGCTAAGAAAACTGTTCTGACGATAAGCATATTCTCACGACATCCTTTCTACACAGCTTGTCTGTTGTCAGAGACCTTGACTGCATACGCTCGAGGGACATTACACTTTAACAAAAGGAAGACACACGAGTCCAAACTGACCAGTGTAAAAGAAGGAAGAACTGAATAAAAAAAAAAAAAAAAAAAAAATCCCAAGTTGGTTTCAACAATAATTTGTTTCTAGAAAAAAAGAAATGTTTGTAACAATATTTTAACCACTTCTTCACCAGCTCCAGGCTGCAATACCTATTCCTTTATATATATAAAATATTCCAAATCTGTCAGTCACACAGATCCACATCGTGTCATGTGCCTTGGTCCTGCCCCTCAGGCGATGTTAGCCAGCCATTTCTCCAAGTCCTGGATGTCAGCTGAGCCGGCGTCCCCTCTCCCGCCCTTGGCACTACACTCCAGGAACTCCACCTTGAGGGGCAATTGTGAAAATTCAAATTCTTTGCCTTTCTTTCCCAGTTGAGCAGGGGCAGTGCTGGAATTGTCCAGTGTGCTGGGGGCAGCAGAACGGGTGACTCGTAAAGTGTTGCTGGAAGGTAAAAGGAACATGAGTCAGAAAGCTAAGAGTTTAATTTTTACATAGCAATGAAAGGCCTTTAGGAAACAGTAGTTTCTAAATAATTCAGCAATGTTTTAAATAATCAGAAAAGACCATTCATTATGCTATTAAGATTGCTGATTAAATTCTTTGCTTTTACAGACCACTCTCTTGGACAGAGAGGAAGGACAGGAGTCCAACCTCACTAGCTAATGACGGCAGGTCAGTAATGTACCCAGGTCACACACAACCTTCCTTCAGCCCAGTGCCCTCTTGCAGGGTCTCCTGCATCATGCCACTTTGAAATGTATTTTAAAAATACACACTAGAAATGTTATAAAAACTTAAGTTCCTGGGAGTTAAGTGTGGGTAGACAGTCTATTTATATTTATTTTGAGTCTACTTGTATACAGAGCTTTGTAATCCACAAGCTCCAGATTCTCTATCCAGTCTGGGCCTAATGAATATTCTTCAACCTGTTTAACCACCAAAACCTTCCTGTTTTAAGTCACCTTACTGCCACCTGCTGGAACTAATAAGGAATGCAGAAGCAGTGCTCATTTGCCACTCCCACTACCCTTTCTAGAAGAAAACATGCTGACAATCTGTTTTTGTTTGGCTTTTTTTCACACTGAATGTAAATTTTAATTATAAAACAAGAATATGAAGAAAACGCTTTAAAATAATCTCAATTATTTGGCAACTCATCACATCATTCATTGCTTTGATCTCAAGAAAAATTTAATCGTATAAAAAACAAAATAAAGCATATCATGATGCCAAGAGGTTGCAGGAAAATCAGTGAAGAACCCACACTAAAAAAAAAAAAAAAAAAAAAAAAACTAAAAAATACCTTGTTTGGAAAGATACACACAGACAAAATGTCTTATTAAACAACAGAAAATTCAAGAGATTACCTGAGGGAATCAGAGGGGAAAACTCTGGTGGAAAAGCACATAGGGCCTTCTAAGCAAGGTGGTGGGTCCATAGTATTCATTTTAGAGTTCTTTAAACATATCCCTTTACATGTAATATAAACTCATATTCCTTTACATGTAAGATATTCTACAACTAAAAAACAACTTTGAAACTTTAGTGCTATAAGCTGATGAAAACTGACCCACTATCAACTCAGCCTTAGTGTCTACCCTGGCTACATGGGGGAGCCCCCATAAAAGTCCCAATAGTACAGGGTTCAGAGAGTTTCCAGTCTGGTAAACACATCCACATAATGGGAAGGTAATGTACCCCAATTCTATGGGACAGAATTCCTGCACCCAGAATTCTCCCAGATGCCCTATGTATCTCTTCATCTAGCCATTCATGTACATCCTTTATTACATCAATTAATAAGCTGGTAAACCTAAGTGTAACCAAATGCTGGAAGCTGGTTTAGCAAATTAATCAAACCCAAGATCATTAAGAACTTCCAATTAGTAGCCAGGTTGGACAGAAGTTATGGTTAACATGCAGACCTACTATCTGTGACTAGCATCTGAAGGAGAGAGCAGTGCTGTGGGGCTGAGCACTTAATCTGTGGGACATGATGATACTCCAGGTGTTAGAAGTGATTTACAATTGTAGGACACCTAACCGGTGTCACAAAGAATTGCTTGTTGTTGGGCCTCCCCGGTGGTGCAGCGGTTGAGCGCTGGGTTGAGAAGCTGCCCGCAGCCTCTGCAGTGCCGGTTCGATCTCCGGCTGCTTCCCGGCCACCAGAGGAGGGTCCCACATGGCTTGCGGACCTCTCCTGCCACCCGCTGCTCCCCTTAGCAGTGTACTTTGGTCCTTCTGCCTGCTCTGCTCCCCGTTCTGGCTCTGGTGAATTCTCTCACCCTCCCGCGCTTCTGACTGTACCCAGTGCATGTATAAACAAACAAATAAATAATAAATAAATAAATAAAAATACATGCCTCAAAAAAAAAAAAAGAATTGCTTGTTGTAGAGGGAAAAAATTCACATATTTGGTGACTGGAGGTGTCAGAAGTACTGTGAGCACAGCAGTATGAAAGTAAAAGACACATGGGAAAGACACAGGAGGGAAAAGCTGGGTAGTATCTTACGCAGTATCAATGTAAGTTGGTATAGTCAGTATGGAAAACAGCATGAAGAGTCCTCAAAAAATTATAAATATAATTTATATGCCCACCAAAGGATCCAGCAATTTTACTTCTGGGTATTTATCCAAAGGAACTAAAATCAGGATCTCAAAGAGATACCTGCACAACCATGTCCACTGCAGTATCATTCACAAGACAGAATATATGGAATCAACCCAATGTCCATCGAAGGATGAATGGATAGAGAAAATGTGGAACATACAAGTGGTGGAATGTTATTGAGGCCTGAAAGGACTCCTGCAATTTTGTAACAGTATGCTTGATCATAGAAGACATTATGCTAAGTGAAACAACAGACACAGCAAAACTACATGATCTCACATGTGGAATCGAAAAATAGAGTACACTGGTGGTTATCAGGGCTGGTGTGTTATGAGTGGTAGCAGGATGATGAGATGATGGTCAAAGGGTATATAAAGTTTCAGTTACTCAAGTAAGTGCTAGAGAGCTACTATGTAGCACAGTATTTATAGCTAACTATACTGCATTGTCTAAACCTTGCTAATAAGGTAGATATTATGTTAAGTGTTCTTAACACAAACAAGCATGTGTGCGTGCACACACACACAAATAATAAAGGTGCAGAAGGAAACTTTGGGAGGTAATGAATACACTCATGGCCTTGATGAAATGGTTTCATGGGTATGTACTTATTCTCAAATGCACTGAACTGTATTACACATGTACAGCTTTTTATATATCAATTGTACCTCAATAAAGGGGTTAAATGTTTCCTCTGACATTCAATATGAAGGCATGGTGTCTTGATAAATCTGATTGAATGGCAAACTTTTCTATTTATACTAAATAGAAAAGTTTATACTATTTATACTAAAAAGTTGAAGTATACAAAATGAAATATATCACGCTCAAATTGAAAGAAAAAAGAAACCATGTAAAATGACAGACCAGGGTTGGTAAAACTTTTGTCAGAGTCATAAATTATTTTGAGCTTATGGGTGACACTTTGTCACACATTTTTCTACATTCCTTCTTAAACTGTCCTTTAAACATATAAAACTACTGTTTGCCGACCCTGCCAATCCCTGAAGCAGACCACACCACTAGCGCCTGAGCACAGGAACTGCACCACATTTCTTCCTGTCGTTGAATGCAGGGCTTGAATGTCAGCTCCTAAATGCCAGGTCCTGAGTGGAGGTCTGGTCTATACTAGATCGTTATAGGTGCTTATTAAATGAATTAAAACTAAAAAAAAAAAAAAGTAAATCAGAGTGGGGGGAAATAAGCTAAAAGTAGAATTTTACATTAGTTTTTCCTCATAACTAAAGTTTTCTTTAGTAAAAAAGCCTTTTACACAAGAGCAGTAAGAAAACATAACTTGCTAAAAACACCATAAACACACGTTACCAAAAAACCCAAAACATACCTTGCTTTATTATGTTGATGGTACCTTCTGTGTAAGCAAGCTAATGGCTAGCACAAAGACATGATATAGTCCTTAAAATTGAAAAACTTCTATTTCAATTTAGTTTTAAATGCTAAAACCAGCTAAATAATGAAAACATGTTGAAAACATTAAGCTATAGAATATCATAACGGTTTCTATTCTTTCCAAGTTATATTCTTTTCTTACTGTCAACAAAAATTTCCAGGATTTAAAATATTTTTGTTTCTAAATTCTTTCATATCTACTATAAATGAGCTAGTAATAGTGGTAAAAAAATAATTGAGCCTATGGTCTCTAAAAACCTGAGATCTTCTTTCCAAGAAAATTTTAAAATATTTATAATCATCCTATTAATGCCTTTTATTTCAGCTAATTCTTTTGTCAACTATTGAACAAGTATACTTCACACTAATCTTCAGGCTAATTGTGATAATCATACACATCCAAAGACCTTAAGCAGTCTATTCACATTTCCTAGGTGTTAAGATACATAATTAACCAATACAACTTATTCATACTTACAGCTCTTTCTCAAGCTGCTGCTGAATTAACTTTGCTGATTTTGCCATTGTGATGTCTATAAAGAAATAAACACATGTAAGTTAGCCAGAAGGTCTTTTTTCAAGATTTCTTGTATGTATGAAGAATTCCTACTAAACCAGTAAGTTTCTTTTCCCTTTTTTTGAAGGGAGCTTTTTAATCACTAGTAACTTCACTAGCAAAGTAAACTTTGTATTTGCATGTAGGGGTTTTCCTAGGACAATGCTTATAAATATATTAAGCTGAGGACCCTAAAACTGACTTCCTCTCTTACAAAAGCTTTCTACACTTTACAGACCTTTAAAATCAACACATATAAGTTTAGTTAGTGTAACAAAAAGAAAACCTACCAGCTTTGTGATTCTAACAAAAATTTCACTCCAAGAGATAATACCTTCCCTTTCATAAAGGAAACAGCGTATTTGTAGCTGATATTAAGATGCTGAGTTACAGCATCAAGTACACAATAAGCAAGAAATAAGTGCTGGTGTGGCACACAGCAGAAGCTAAATAAATATTACCTCCTTTCCTTATAATGAATAGAATAAAGAGGCCAGCTATGATCTTAAGACTGCACTTCTGAGTAGGCATTACCTGATCACTTCTGAGAAATGCCTTCAGCTCTTTCACAGAATGATTCTATGATTCAGATCTGAATCTGAAAGAGACCTGCAGAGACCAACTAGTCTAATTATCTTATTTTAGAGATAATGAAACTGAAGCCTAGTTTCATTGGGTGTGACTAAAAAGTTTTTAATGTTTATCACAATTTGAAAAAAATAACTTCCACAAGCTCCCCTTGATGGAACATACTGGATGGTAAACTTGTTTGAAAGGAAGAGACTCTACTCTCTTCCTCCACAATTTTGTGTCTGATGTAACTATACTGCTAATCTGATGAACTTAACTGGTAAAGTAAAATGACTTAAAAAAAAAAAAAAAAAAAACTACCAAAGAAAAATTTGTGATCACTATGTCATTCTTTAAAATAGCTTGGTAAAAAGGCTAATGAAAATGCAAGAGTATCAATAAATTTTAATATTTAAAACACTTTAATATAAAAACAATGACCTCATCCTCAATAACAACTGTAGATAACTATATTAATTCATATTAGCAATCTTCCCCAAATCTCAATTACTATTATCAGAAAACATAATAGTACCTTGTTTATTGCAGGCAATTAAGAATGACGGTGTGTTCTTCAAACTCATACTGTCAATGAGGACTTGATAAAGAAACTCTGCCACATCTTTCACCTCTCGCTGGAATGCTGCACTATCCACCACAAACACCACAGCCCTGAAGGAGAATAAGGGATAGAAACACTGGTATATATGAGCCTGCAATAGGGTAGCATTATATTGAAAGAAAAGATATCCTTAATTTCATCTAATTCAATTCTAATGCAGCACACAACAAATTCACAGGCAGGTACATTTACAATCACAATACAAAACTGACTTAACAAAGGACTACTAAATGTTTACTACATATCAAATGACTGTGGCTAAAAAAGACAACAGGAAATGATGCCTGCCCTCAAGGACCAGGAAATCATACCTATAGAGCCATGTGGTAACAGGAACAAAGAGGAAGGTAATTAACATGAGACCAGTTCAAGAAGACTTACAATAAGGTTTTAACACTTGAGCTGAATTTTAAGCTGACAAAATTGGGGCACAAAGTGTCTGGAAAGTAGTATGTGCAGAGCACAAAGGGGTGGAACAACATGCCCTGGGGAACTCAAGGTAGGCTGGTACCCAGGGAGATAGGAAAATTGGGGAAAATCAGGTCAAGTAGCAAAGAAGCATGGCACACTGACCTATGGAGTTTATGTATTTATTTCTAGCTTACAAAGGATATTGGTACATAAATGGAAGACTGATAAATCTAAGGTAATCAAACCAGAAGTACATTGACCAGATGGGTAAGGCCCAACATAAGACAGCACAAGTGAGAATTCTCACGTGCCAGAAATAAGAGTTATCAAAGTTAAAGCAAAGCAGTCCAGAAAATCAGCAGATAACAGGCCAGGGCTTGAATGCTAAGTTGCGAAGGAGATGTGCAATGGACAACATGCTGCTGGGAAGCCTGGAACTGAACATCCTATGCAAAGTCTAGAACTTAAAAGCAATCTAGGTGGTAAAATAATCAAGAGGTAGTGAAACACCAAGCCTCCTGTGTCACACACAGATTCAGGGTATGACCTATACTCTCTCATTATGTAAGAGCCCCAAGCAGGAAATTTATATAAAAATTGGGCCAGACTCAAGGAACATGGATGGTTTCCAAAAGGAAATATGAACTTCTGAAAGGAGCTTTGCATACCCATAAACACTTGATTACTTATGAGAATACTAGAAACCATAATGAAAGAATAGGATCTTATATAAACAAACAGGCTGACTTGAAAAAATAGACTTGTAAAGAATAAAGAAAATGTAACATAATGAAAAAGTTGAAAACATGCACAGATGAAAAGGATATAGTGAAGTGTAAAAGTAATATGAGAAAATCACATTATATGTAAGGAAAAAAGATGTGGAAGGTATGATAGAGAAGAGACAAGAAGGAAAGAAATAGTAAGGCAATGTTAAGAGATCCAGGAGGAAAGAACTGAGGATCTGGAAATAAAACGACCTGAAAAGATACTACTGAAATTTTCCAGTACTGAAGATGTGACTCTTTCAACTGAAATAGCACATTTGCACTCCAAGCATGATAAAGCTAAATCACCCATCAACAGAAGAAAAGCTATACCTGAGCAGAGGGTAAAATACAGATTTGATGCAATGAAATGACAATTTAATCAGTGAATTCTCATCTATAACAACAGATGTTTGTAGTTAGAAGTAATCATTCAATGTGAAAAAGTGGAAACAATTACCATCCAGAATTTTACACTCAAATAAAACAGTTATTCAAAAACAAAGGTCCATGAAAAAGTTTCATTTGAACAAAAGATGAAAATTTTGATAACTTGTTCACCAATTATGGAAAGCCTCTAAAAGAGGCTTTTTCTCTCAGGGAGTGAAAAACAGATTCTAAAAGGAAAGAATAAGAGGCAAGAAGCAATGGAAAAGAAAAACAAACAAACAAACCCTGGCAATTCTAGGTAATCAATGAATGGAAGGGGGGAAATTAGTAATTGTTGGGGCTTAAAAAGGAGAAAAAAATAAAATGAAAGGAAAATGTAAGAAACATCAAAGTTAAAAAGGTTTTAAGATCCAGGAAAAATATCTGAAATCACTGATTTTAAGCCTTTGTAAGCAAGCAATGTTTTTTAAAAAAGTGGTACAGGGATAATAATGAAAATAATGTGGATTCTGGGGTCATTACATATCAGTGTAGATCCAGATGTAACAGGCATACGTTTCTGCTGGGATATGCAGTTAATAGAGGAGGCTACACAAGAATATGGGAAATCTCCATATTTTTAGCTCTATTTTGCTGTGAGGCTAAAAATGCCTTTAAAAAAAATCTATTTTAAAAACCACACAACAATCTCACTGTTATAGATTGCACATCACCACCATCTTGTGGGCAAGGAAGAAACAAACAAAAGAAAAGTCAAGACAGCCTCAAAAATAAACAAACCAGTATCTCTTTCTACCAAACCTAAGATTCTATCAATTAATCGACACATTATTACTTTAAGTACAACTAAGAAAGAAAAAATACGGCCAATTAAAGTATAACTAACACTATTACCTACAAACAGCATTCCAATTTCACCGATATAAAAATGTTTCTAAAATCAATAAAATGCATTCTATTGGTTTTTCTCTAAAGGTTTTATCAAATTTAAAGACAGAATAAGAATAAAGGACCCTAAACTGCAGCACAAGAATTTTAGGAAAGAGGAGTCACTAAAACAAGGACAGTATTAAATGAAAGTATCATTCTGTACCTTTGAGGCACCATTTTTAGGTAATTTAAGAATAGAAATATGCATTGTTAAATTTTAATAACTTCTAGGATTCCACCTAATTTTAAAATTACTTTTTCAGATTTTAATAGTTCTACACATTAAATGTGTCATCAGAGCAAATGAAAAATCTAACAATGAAGGTTATGAAGGTTAACAGTTTCTGAATACTCTGTGAAATGCATTTAAATATTATCTCATGTAATCCTCATAAAGTCAGAGTGAAGGTGGGCTTACAGTGTAGAAATGGATGACCCCAAAGACCGCGCTCTTTCTAGGACACTTAGGCTGCTTCTCCAATACCAGCAGAGCAAAACATGGGGCATGTTTATAATAAAAAAATTTCCATATACAGATTTCAGACAAGCCCATTTTCCTTCCTTCCTACTTACCTGGCCGATGCCTTAAACCGCTCCAAGAATTGAAGTCTCAAGCTCTCATGGCCAGGGAGGTCAATCAAGGTCAGGCTAGTGCCCTAAGGATGGCAACAGTAACAGTAATGTTCCAGTTCTGACTCACATTTCACAACATAAACCTTTAATATCAAACATCAGGTACCAGAATAGTGCTCAGTTAATTAATTAAAAAACAACACTAACTAATGAATCAAAAAATGTTCAGAGAGTTATCTACAGTCAGTCAAAGCTCTGGGAATATAACAGTGAGCAAAAATATTTATAAGTACCATTCCTACTCTAACAAGGCTTATAATCACAAAGACCAAAACAATGTTAAATTACATGTAAGTGTAAAATTACAACATTGATAAATTTTCTGAGGATACATGAGAAACATGATCCTGCCTGAGGGAGTCAAGAGGTATGGTCCACCTGAAGCTGGGGAATTACATCAGCATGTATAAAAGCAAAAATATAAGAAAAACAGTAATACTTACAAACTAATGTGAGAACTTTATCATACAGCAAGTTACCAGTGTATGAATCCCCAATCTCTATAACAAAGCATTCTTTGACATTTCCCCTATAGTTTAATTTTTTAAATATTTGTCTACTAGTTACACCATTTATTTGTTTCAACTCCATCAATATTTTGTGTCAATTCTTGATCCACATGACAGTCACTGAAACATGGAGGGGTTGTGCCCCAACTGAGCAAACTCACTGAGCCCACATTCACTCCAGGCCTTCACCCTGGAGGTCAGTTTCACTGCAGATATGACAGTACTCAATGATAAAGACTCTCAGGTATGGACCTGATACATGTATCAGAAACAAGGATCATTTCTCATATAATGTATCACCTATTCAAAACACACAGATGCTCAAAAAGGCTTAATGTCCACCCTTAAGAATTCATAGACAAGTTAGAGAAAAGTAAAAACAAAAATTAATAAAATGCAATGTAACATTAGTGAGCATGAGGTACAATGAAGCAGGAGACAATCTGCTTCTTAGATGGTGGGGAGAATTTGCCAAATAAGACTATACTCATAAGTAAGCTACAAATGTCACCTACATTCTTAGACTAATCCATGCTAGAATTGCCCCTTCCTGACACACCACAGTAAAATAAAATTGTTAGAGTCAGAACATTCCAGGACCCCCTTACCCTGGTATTGTTGACTTTGTATGCAGCGGAGCTGTCTGTAATGGACGTCTGAGTGTCTCTGTAAAGGCCTGTTAACAACTGCAAAATAAGACGATATGGGTGAAATCAGAGTAAACATAAAGAGCAAACCTAAACCTAACGCTCCTACGTGTGTAAGGTCAAATGAAAGTACGTTGTTTTCGTTACCTGAAAAGGACCAAATTGATTTTTTCCCCTTTACTTGTAGAAAAATCTAATGGAAGGCAAACTTCAGTTTCCTCTCCCCACAAGAGGTTTTTCAAACTAAAGGTATTGTTTTCAAACTAAGTTTAGTGGGCAAATTCTTTTTTTAAAGATTTATTTATTTATACATACAAGAACTGGGGTACAGGCCAGAGTTTTGGGGGGTGAGAGGATTCACCAGAGACAGAGTGGGGAACAGAACAGGCAGATGTACTGAAATACACTGCAGAGGGAAGCAGCGGGCAAGTCAGGAGAGGTCTGTTGCGCCATGTGGATCACCTCCCTGGTCGGGATCGAACTTGTGCTGTAGTGGCTGTGGTGAGCTTCATAGGTTGCGTCTTAACCCCTTGCGCCACCAAGGAAGCTCCTAGTGGGCAAACTTACCAACCTTCTATAGACATTTTTTATCATCAAAAAATGACTAGAGTGCCTCCCCTGGAAGCGGAGTGGTTGAGTGCTGGGCTGCGAAGCTGCCCGCAGCCTCTGCAGCACCGGTTCAATCCCTGGCCACCGGCGAGGGTCCCACATGACGCAACAGACCTCTCTTGCCGTGCCCGCTGTTCCCCTCAGCAGTGTATTTCGTCACTCTGCCTATTCTGTTCTCCGCTCTGGCTCTGGTGAATTCTCTCATCCTCCCGACTTCTGACTGTACCCAGTGCTTGTATAAGTAAATAAATCTTAAAAAAAAAAATGACTAGAGATTGTATTTTTTTTTAGTGTAAGAAAATTTATAATCTCAAAAGGAAGAATAATGAGAAAACCTCTGCTACTCTTTGTAACAGAAACCAAAGTAAAAAGTACTATATAGATTTAAAATATTAATGAAAAGAAGCTTAAGTAGCCCATTATGTCAAAGGATCACCCTTTAAAAATATTTCTTTGACAACATTTCAGAAGAGTTATATGTAATGAATTACACATAATGAATTACAAATCCTACAGTTGACCCTTCTTATCCCAGGGTTCAACATCCCCAGATTCAACTGATCACAGAAGGAATATAAATACTAGGTAATTAGGTTTACAATGATGGCATTTGCAATGAACACATACATTTTTTTCTTGTCATTATTCCCTAAACATTACAGTATAATAACTAGGCATATAGTGTTCAAGATGTATTAGGTATTAAAAGTAATCTAGAGATGATTTAGATTACTAAATGAGCATAGATAATATGCCAATACTATGCCATTTCCTATCAGGGACTTGGCATACTTGATTGGGTCCTGGAACCAATCCACTGGGGATACCAGAAGCAGCTCTATACCAATGCCTCTCTTCTACCTCCTCAGTTGTTCTGACTCCTTAGCCATGGCATGAAAGTAGTTACACAGAACCCTTAAATGGAATAAGGACTGAATGTCAATATGTGATAAGTGCAAAAAAACAAATGGTCAGGAAATTCCACTTTATGGGTTTTCTAAGTCTTTTTGTCCTCCATGAGAGTAAAGAATTAATTGAATTTGTCCGTTCAGTTTCTTTTCCATGCCTTCAAAGGGATAATGGAGGTATCCTAAAATTTCCTATCAAGTTTAAGAGAGGTATATATCAAAGTATTTACTCTGACAAAAAGCAGTGTTTTCCCGGAATCACAAAGGCCAACAAGAAGTACAGCTCTTTGACTACTCCTTCGGCTCCGAATGAATTTCCAGAACACTGTTGAACAGAAGAAAAAAAAAATCAAAGTTAAGCCTTGATAGTATACTTTTACCGATAATATGAATGTATGGTTAGGGTAGGGAAAATACAGAGGCCTACCAGCAGTTCTGCTCATTCACCTGGAACTTTCTTGTATACTAAGACCACTATAACTTGCTGTTCAGGATTCCCACTGAGTGGCAGCCGCTACCAACTCTTAACGTTTTCTGTGTCTGCATCCTCTATCCCCACTGCGGACTTCTCAAGTGCAATTTGTCTTAGCAACTTTGTACCCCAAGCGCCCAGGGGCAAGCAGGAGGCTCAAACTTGAGTAAAGACTCTGTCAGTCTTGGCAGTGAGAGCAATAAAGAGGGGCAACCGCGCTAAGGCATAACAGGGCCGGCGAAGGTACAATTACCAGTGCTCCTGAGGATCAAGACTTCAGTTTGAAGTTCACAGGAAGTCCCTTTAACAGAGTAGTCCCTACTGCCTCAACCAGGAGAGCAGAGTGATATAACCGGTCACTCTAGACGCCCAGACCTCACTAAGTGAGGAGCCTGCTGGGTCCCAAGGCCGCGGTCTGCGCTGCCCAATCCAAGCCCGGGATCCCGCCTGCTCTGCAGCCACCATGACCACCAGCCGCCCCCTTACCCAGCGTCAGTAACACCACGAGAAGCGCCACCACGACGGACACCAGCGTCGGGTCCCTCTGCTGTAGCTCCTGCTTCAAGGAGTCTATATAGGGTTGGAAAGTGCCCCCGACACCACCGCCATGCCCCATTCGCCGGGAGTCCGCGGAAGCCATGTCTGACACGTACGGTCGCCGGCGCCACAAAGCAACGTGGCCCTGGGTTCTGCGCAGGCGTCCCTAGCGGAGCATCACGGGAGTCGTAGTTCCTACGCTGTATTTCCTCCTTCGGAGGCGGGATCCCGAAGGTCCTGGTGGGAATTGTAGTTCCCTGGGGACACTCTGCTCTTACTGAACGAGGGTGCCGCCACGGTATTTCACGAGTGACGCACTCATCTTTTAAGCTATGGGTCAAATATTGTTGACAGAACGATGGGTGAATAAAGCTGATGGCTCAAGAAATCTCCACTGAGAATTTCCAGTCGCTCCTTTCGTGGGGTGTCTGGTGAGAAACTCTTGTATCATTACACAGACATTTCATCGAATAAAATGTGGCATGGGATGTGACAGCGCTTGTACGGGGCGCTATGGAATACAGAAAGGGACGCTTAGTCCAACATTGGCTCAGACTTGTAGTAGTTGTACTGTATTTGTACAGTTGTACTGTATTTGTTTACAAATGCTCAGAGTAACGCTCCTGAAGGATAGTGACAGGAAGGATGAATTCGCCTTTCCAGGAGAAAGGGTGCACTATTAGGAAGGAAGTGAGCAATTCAGTGTCCCTACCCTGTAATCTAGGGCTACAACTGAAAGATCTGCATTAAAGGAATCAACCAGGAAAAGCAATGGGGAGGAGTGGGGGGGCTGTTGAAATCTGCAGCTGTCATTTCTGCGAGGCAGGTTTGTGCAACTAAGTTGGCCAGTTATTCCAGTATTTCAAGAAAAGCCAGAAAGACGTGTTTTTATGGGACATTTTTTACTCTTCTAATTTCAGCAGGTAATTGGAAAACGTTCAAAAACTGTGGTCCAAATAAAACACATCAGGGGCTGCTAGGTTGCAGTCTCTTTCATTAAGTGGTTGTCATGTTGAGCAGAAGTGGCAGCAAATAAAGCAGGAAAGATTGGAAGGAAGCAGACCTATAGGAACTGTGTGTGATGTGTGCGATGCTGAGAAATATGGGCCTTATCCCAGATGCATTAAGAAGCTTTAGTTTGGGGTGATGTGGGTGATGGCAGAACAATAGATAACTATGATGTGGGAGAGGAAAAACTGGGGGCAGAAGACACTTTAGGGGCTATTGCAATGTCTTGGCAAAAGATGTTCAGAGTTTAAAACTCAGACACAGGTAATTAGGGAAAGGAGAGCACAATTTTGACAGATGCTTAGAAGGAAAACATATAGATTGTAATGATTAATAAGATATGCTTAGTAGGAGACTTATCCAGATTCCATCTGAAGCAGTTGGTGTGGGTTAGTGGGAAGATCAGAGTGCACAAAGTGAACTAAAAACTCAGTTGGAGGGACCTTGAAGGTGGGGACCAATAGCCAGAATGAAAATTGCTTTTCAGGTGCCTTTTTTGAAATTGAAAATCTTATATCAAGCAGGTGATACTGTTTACAATATCAGTTGTACTGTTTGTTTGTTTTTTTTTTTTTTTTACAAATGCCAGGGTTCCATGATGGGTGCTATGTTTTCATTTGGGAGTCAAATGTAAACAAGTAGTTGTTAAAATCGTGCCAGCATTGAGAAAGAGGAGAAAGGAACTGAGAAAGCCTAAGGAGGAAGTCAGCAAAAATAGGAGTAAAACAGGAAATTGTCAGCAGCATCTTTTCTAGCAGAGAGGCTCCTTGATGAAACCTCCAATGAAAAGTGAGCTCTTTAGAAATGGAATTTAAAAACAGAAAGAAAACTCAATTAATACTACAATTAAAACTCAGAATAAAAGCTATTTACTTTGAAAATGATCAGTTGTTTTAGTTCATACATATTTTGAAGAAAAATTAGGCAAAGAATGATAGTGGGAGATATAAATTAACTCTTAAATTATTTCTGGAAGTTATAATTAAAAACCTTGCTAAACTAAGTTTATTTATAAGTAGTCTTCATGTTAGCTAACTTGTTTTAAATATATATTCAAGAAGGAAATGGAGATTAGCTTTCCATTTTAATAACTAATCTTTTTTTTGCAATCCTAACTTTTCACAAGTTTTCATTAATCTATAATCCACTGAGGAAAAATATGTTTTTGATTAATTTGATGATTAAAGATATAGGTTACCTAGTTTTTATTAATTTATTAATAAATTAATTTTATTAATAGTTTTTATTAATAAAACTACATTTTCTTCTTTATTGCTTGGCAAATTAAAAGAAAATTCTCTCTATAAAAAAAAAGGAAAGAAAAAGTAAAGTGAGCTCAGAGGGAACGGTGGGCAGGGAAAGGAAGTGTTGGGTATGGAAGCAAGACTGGTGGGAAAAGAAGAGGTGGAGAATGAGTATAATTGCGAACATTAATACATTCTTGCTGGCAGCAAGCAAGCATTGCTCTGAATACTTTCAATGTGTTCATTTGACCATCATCTCAATATTACAGAGGGCAAAATAACTTACTCCTGGTTACATAGTGAGGGACAGAGCTGGTGTTTGATTCCAGGCTCCTTTCTGCTTAACAATGTGCTCTAACATAGCTCAGTTCATTGTTTAGGTGTTTTGTTGATAAAGGTAGGCATAGAGACTCCCAATCAATGAAGGCTATTTAGGATGTGATGTTAAAATATTTTAAGTGAGGAAATGATTTACTCTAAGATAAGTTATATGAAGGACGTGTGATCATAGTATGGTACATGGCTTGCCAAATACTTTTTTAAAAATTAGTATTATAATTAAAATTACCATAACTGACAGTAATCTTAGCACATTATATTTCTTTTCTTTCTTATGGTCTCCAACCGCTACTCTGCATCTATGAAAACACACACACAGAGCTCCTTTATCATAACCATGATTCCTCTTTAGAAAAATCACAACCTGGATTAGATATACCTGTTGGTAGGCCTCCCTGGTGGCACAGGCAGTTGAGCACAGCTCTGTGAAGCTGTTCGCAGCCTCTGCAGCGCGGGTTAGATCCCAGGCAGCAGGAGATAGCCACATGGCGCAGCAAATCTCTCCTGTCTTGCCCTCTCTGCTCCCCTCAGCAATGTATTTCGGTCAGTCTGCTTGTTCTGTTCCCCACTCTGTCTTTGGTGAATCCTCTCACCTTCCTGCACATCTGGCCTTTACCCCGGTTCTTATGCGCTTGAATAAATAAATCTTAAAAAAAAAAAAAAAAGATGTAGGGACTCCCTGGTGGCGCAGTGGTTGAGCGCTGGGATGCGAAGCTGCCTGCAACCTCTGCAGGTTCCATCCCCCGGGCCACCGGAGGAGGGTCCCACATGGCGCGCAGACCTCTCCTGCCGCCCGCTGCTCCCCTCAGCAGTGTACTTCGGTCCTTCTGCCTGCTCTGCTCCCCGCTCTGACTCTGGTGAATTCTCTCACCCTCCCACGCTTCTGACTGTACCCAGTGCTTGTATAAATAAATAAATTAATTAAAAAAAAAAAGATATACCCTTTGGTGATTAAAACCGAAGGGAGGGAGAAAAGACCCAACTTGAAGAACTCCAACCATAACTCTCCTCACTGGATAAGGATTTTTCATCAAGTTATGTGAATGTAAAAGTGCTGCTGTGATGATGAAATTTGGGGATGATGAAAGAATGCTTTAACAAGACAAAGTCATATTTTTTGTTTTCAATTTGTTTCTTGCTATTCTGAAGGCAGGAGATGTGCAGCACAGAATCTACACTCAAGTGAGAGCGCTGCACTGCCATTCTCTGGAATGAGCAGTGAGGGGATAGAGTCAGCTGAGACAGGAGTGTGGAAGACACTGCCTGTCCTCACCTATTTCCACCTAGGAAAGCTCTGGCTTCCAAGAGCTCTGTAGGGACAAATGGAGGGGAAGAATGTGTGCACATAGTGAATGCTGTTGCTGAAGGTGTTCTCCTCATTGATTCAAATATCAGATGGAGAGTTACAATGAAACAAGCATATTGAGAGAATTTTTCCTTCTGATTCTTGTATGAAAATGTTATGTTCAGCAGACACATTTTCCTTTTCTCTCTTACTCCCACTAGCTCCAAAACACAATGGGACCTATATCAAATTCAGGGAACCAACCATGTGATTCCCACAGTCAGACTGTTTCTTAATTCTGCTTCTTTGTAAAAAAACTTAGGGGCTTTCAAAAAAAAGAATTGAAGTGAGATATGCTTATTGTATTGAAAATTACTCCTGTATATTTGTATATGTTTTACATACAATAATTATTATTTTATAAATAATGAAAGATCAAAGAATAAATCCAAAAACCATCCTATATTTATATTGATAGTATCTGGTGAACATTATTTCAGACATTTCTATGTATATGTGTATGTATATGTGTGTATATATGTGGATACACACACACACACACACACACATACTGATCAGAAGGCAGTCTAGATAGAGAATAATGAAAAATATACTAATTATTGTAAGAGACAACAGTGCCTGACTCATGGTAGGTTCTTAGTCCATTGTTGATAAAATTAGGTTTTTTGATTCACTGCAGTGAGAGCATACCCAGGAGGAACCACGGGGCATCTCACCAAACAAAACAAGACATAATTGTTACAGGATGTGGAGAAAAGGTGGAGTTGGGGTGAATATTACATAAGGCAGAATATTGATAGGCTCAGAGTGAAGCAGAGCTGTGTTGTGAGAGGTGAACATCAGGCTGGACTGCAGAGTGGGCCCAGTGTCTGATTCCTTGGATACCAGAAAGTTAAGAAATGTGGCCCAGAAACCCATCTGAAGCTCTTCCCCTGAGACACTGTGGTAGGAGCTAGGAAGTAAGGGATCAACTGGAGAGTTGTCTATGAGGCCAAAAAATCAATAGAACTTGCTGACACTGGGTATGGAGTGAAGGAGTACAATGAACTGAAATTTGACACCTTAGTATGTGATTCCTGTGAGTGAGCAGAAGACCATGTTTTTATCTGTTGTGGAAAATATGGAATTAACAGATTAGGGAAGGCTAGTAAGGGGAAGAATAATCACCTCAATTTTTGATGTTGGATTTCTGGTTTCTGTGAGAACTCTATAGTGCAGAACCACAGGCAGGAGGCGGTCTGAGTGTGGGAATGCTAGAGGCAAGGGTCAGAAATCTAGGTTTCCAGGAGTCATTCCCATTGCGTAGGGAGGGTCCAGAGAGTGAGGCTGATCTCATGATCTTCACTGTATCAAAAGAATGCCAGGAGAGGGGCCTCCCTGGTGATGCAGGTGGTTGAAGGCAGTGCTGTGAAGCTGTCCACAGCCTCTGCAGTGCTGGTTCAATCCCCGCCAGCTGCGGAGATACCCACATGGCACGGCAGATCTCTCCTGTCTCGTCCGCTGCTCCCCTCAGCAGTGTATTTCAGTCAGTTTGCCTGTTCTGCTCCCCGCTTTGTCTCTGGTGAATCCTCTCACCTGCCTGTATCCCAGTTCTTGTATGAATGAAAAAATAAATCTTTTTTTTTTTTAAAGAATGCCAGGAGGTTTTCCCTAAAATTCCAGGGCTGATAATCATCAAAGCTGCATGGTATTGGAACAAGAACAGACACACAGACCAATGGAATAGAATAGAAAATCCAGAAATAAACCCACAGATTTATGGTCAACTAATCTTTGACAAAGGAGCAAAGAATATGCATTGGAGCAAAGAAAGTTTGTTCAATAAATGGTGCTGGGAAAACTGGGTCGCTACATGCAAAAGAATGAAGCTTGACCACTACCTCACACCATACACAAAAATCAACTCAAAATGGATTAAAGAACTAGACATAAGACCTGAAACCATAAAATACATAGAAGGAAATATAGGCGAAACACTCCATGATAGGCACATCAAAGACATCTTTACAGACACATCACCCAAAGCAGTGATAGTGAAGGCAAAGATCAACAACTGGGACTACATCAAATTAAGAGCTTCTGCCCAGCAAAAGAGACAATAACAAAAACAAAGAGAAACCCCACCGACAGGGAGAAAAATTTTGCACACAACACTAATGATAAAGGACTGATCACAAAAATCTGCAAAGAGCTGATGAGACTCAACAACAACAAAGAAAATAATCCAGTCAAAAAATGGGCAGAAGAGCTAAAAAGAAATTTCTCTGAAGAGGAAATGCAAATGGCCAACAGGCATATGAAAAAATGTTCAGCATCACTTGTAATCAGGGAAATGCAAATCAAAACTACCATGAGATACCATCTTACACCAGTGAGAATGGCACATATTAAAAAAACTAGCAACAACAAATGTTGGCGAGGTTGGGAGGAAAAGGAACTCTCCTGCACTGTTGGTGGGAGTGCAAACTGGTCCAACCATTATGGAGAGCTGTGTGGAGATTTCTGGACCTAATAAACATAGAGTTTCCATATGATCCAGCAATTCCACTCCTAGGCATTTACCCAAAGGACACAGAAACATCAATTCCGAAGAGCACCTGCACTCCTATGTTTATAGCAGCACTGTTTACAATAGCTAAGCTTTGGAAACATCCCAAATGCCCAAAAATAGATGACTGGATCAAGAAGATGTGGTACATATACACCATGGAATATTACTCAGCATTCAAAAAAGATAAACACATGCAATTTGCAGCAACATGGATGGCGCTGGAAGGGATCATGCTCAGCGAAATAAGCCAGAAAGAAAAAGAAAAATACCGGTGGTCTCACTCATAGCAGGAATCTAGAAAAGTTAAATAAGGGACCAGGAAAAAGAATAACTATAAGAAAGAAAATATCAAAATCAACAAGTAACTATGAACAAGAGACACTCTATGGGGGTGGGGGGTGGGGAAAGGAGGGCTTGGGGTAAAAATAAGGGGGTTGTAATTGTATGGGGAATATAAAAATAAAATTTAAATTAAAAAAAAAAATTCCAGGGCTGGCAGGATGAGCCCAGAGTGAGGCCACAAATGGACAGAAATCAGAGTGAAAGCAGAGAGCTTCCATGGCAGAGAAGCTGGGGAGATTCTATGGAAAGGTGAGTGGTCCCCTGTATCAATGCTATAAACAGACTGAGCACTGAAAGAACTGAAATTGGTCTCTACTTTCAGCAGGTGGGCCGTGACCTTGCTCAGGGTGGCTAAAGGCAAGTGGGTGAAGCAGAAGACGGCTGTGAAGCATGGCAAGGATTAGACGCCTCTTTTTAGGAGCTTGACTGAGAAGGGCTAGAGAAGGGGTTAAAGATTGATTTTTTAGCAAGATGTTTCCACAATTTACTTTTCCAACTATTTAGAATCAGGATCTCAAGGATACCTGGTATAATTCATTAAAAAGATTTGTTAAGGGCCTCCCTAGTGGTGCAGGGGTTAAAGTTTCAGTGCTATCAAGCTACTGCCAGTCACTGCAGCATGAGTTCGATCCCCAGCCAGGGAGCTAACCCTCATGGCAGAGCAGACCACTCCTTTCTCACCTACTGCTCCCCTTGGCAGTGTATTTCAGTCAGTTCACCTGTTCTGCTCCCCACTCTGTCTCTGGTGAATCCTCTCACCCCCCCACACCACTGGCCTACATCTCAATTCTTGTATGCATAACTAAATAAAAATAAATATTTAAAATATGTATTATTTTTAAATACAGAAATCTTCTACATTCTTTTTATATACTTCCTTGAGCAATCTATCAAAAATAACTCATCGCCCATTCGCTTTCCTTCCCTTACCTAAACACACACACACACACACACACACACCCTGAGAGCCATATACATGTGATTCATTGTTATACACATGGAAACTCCTTTTTGAAAGAATTCCTACTTGAATTGAGCCAGGAGATGTGGCTGTGGCACCACAACCAAAGCCATTGGAAAGATCAGATGAGCGTTGAGCTCCGAAGGTGAGGCTCAGTGGCATGTGTATTTATTCAGACAGTCTAAAAGGACTCCTTCAAGCCAAGCATTTAGGAAAGAATGAAGTTTTTAAAAGACAAACTCAATATTAACTTTTATTTCGTGTTCTGTAGCAGTGCCACCACCCGACTGGGAAGGCAGTCAAACCATTCAGGCAAGTGAGACCAGAAGCTTATGGGTCACGTGACCTTCTCTCCATCTGGTAATGGCCTCCCACTCTTGGATTTTAACCCCTGTGGAAAGTGCAGGCTTCCAGGAGTCCTGTGGGAGAGAGCAGAGAGGTAGGAGAGTCAAAAATCTACCCATATTTATTTTCTGTTCAATGAATGGTTAATCCTGACACCAAAGTGTTCACACCTGATGCCATGCTCTTTTGCTAATGCAGGGACATGATCATTCTTCTAGTGGCTTCTCCATAGCCTGCATGGCTCTTGTGCCTTTCTAGGTAGTGCCCTACACCAACACGGTTTCCCTAGCTTCTGTCAAGATTCCCTCACCTGGGTTCATGTGACTAGAAGGAGTCTGTCCTCTCAGACCTCCAGGCTGGGGATAAAAGCAGCAGAGAACAGCAGAAACACTTTCTCCCCTCATGGGGGGTAAAAGTTAAGTAAACGTAACTGGTGCTTGCAACAGTGGCCTTGGGCAAGCATGTTCCTTATATCAGAGTTACATAGGGCAGCTGCTAAAATGCATGAACTCTGCTCTTGGCACAGACTTACTGAGTTAGTATCTCCAGAGACCAGGAGTCAATATTTTAAGGACTGTGGCTCAGTTATGCACACAAAATTTGAAGACTAGCCACCCTATATCCACATGTGATTGCCTCGCATCTTCCTAATGACTTTAAGTGATTAAATGATATACAACCTAGTTACAGTGCAAAGGTGTGTTTCATTGTATTTTAATCTTAGGAAACTGGTGTAGTAGATGAGTGGTGTGTATGGCAACTTTATAGTTAACAGAACTTATTTTTCAAGAGCAGCACTGTGTAGAACTTTCTACAAGATGGAAATGCTCTCTCTGTTTACCTGTATGGAGTTACATGTAGCTACTGAGCACTTGAATTGTGGCTGGTGTGACTGAGGAACTAAATTTCTAGTTTTGTTTAATTTTAATATAAATTTAAGTCACATACTTAGCCAGAGGTTACATACTAGACACGCAGTACTGTATAAACAGGAGTTTAGTGCAGGCAATGGCACGTGCGCACACACTTCCTGTTCTTAGTAATAAGACAGATTTCTGCATCCAGGTAGTTACTGCTTTAGTGCCCTCAGCCCATGCCCCCTTACCATCTTCCCACACAAGTAGTCTTTCCTGTATCCTGGGGCTATGTGTTCTCTCATCCTTTCATCTTGTCCATGCAGTTACCTTCCCTGGGGGCCACATCCCATTCTTCCTTTTGTGCCACTACCCAGAACTCTGCCCTTGTTTGCTTTGCTGCTTCCCAAGTGTTGTTCCCCCTACTCACGTGAGGTGGAGCACTTTTTCAGGTTAGTCACAGCTGTGACATAGTCTGCTCCTAAGTAGGATTCATATGTTGCTGTGTCCTGAAGCTTGGCCAAACATACTGTGCCATCCTTGAACAAAAGGTCCTTAGTTGCCGAGTGGAACAAGCAAAACTTGTTTGAGCAGTCAGATTCATCTACTCCAAACTCAGCCTGTCAAATGAACAGAAAGTGCATAAGGACCTGTGGGCATGATTAGCTGGGAACTCATGGTTTCCAGAGAGAGAATGCTAGAAATTGGACTGGCACTTAACTGTGCCCTACCCAAATTACCCACTCCCACTCAGGAAGAAAGGATGGGAGACCCTGTTTAGTCCATACCTGTTGGTCAAGTAACATCTGGCGGACACAAGCTGCCTTTTCTTTCCGTGTAACCACAGCGTGGTTGGGACCCCGGGCTAGGTGGCAGTTCTCAGCCTCACTCAAAGGTTTCCTGGTACCATCAGGGCACAGCAATTGAAAACTGTTCTGTGTCAGACCCTTAGCCCAGTCTTCAGTGTTCTTTCCTGGGGACAGAGAAGGTGAGTCAGCTACAGCTGATGGTTTTGGTTAAAGTGCCTTCACTGGGGTTTATGACCAACCCACTGGTGTGAGGAGGGCCCAGCGGCCAGCAGAAGTGCATGTGCTGTGGTTACAGTGATGTGGAATGGAAGGGACACCCACAAGGCTACAGGGTGATAGTCATCTCACACCAGGAATCCCTAGAGATTATTCCCTTCCAACCTGCCCCTCACTACTAGGGGAGAGTGAACTCAAGTCTGTGGATGATTTTTTTTTTTAAAGAAAGGTCTGCATTTTGGGCGTCCTTGATGATGCAGGGTTAAAGTCTCACGCTATCAAGCTATTGCCAGCCACTGCAGCATGAGTTCTATCCCCAGCCAGGGACTAACCCGCTTGGTGCAGCAGACCTCTCCTGTCTCGCCGCTGCTCTGCTCTGCAGTGTATTTCAGTCAAGCCACCTGTTCTGCTCCCCACTCTGCCTCTAATGAATCCTCTCACCCCTCACATCTCTGGCCTACACCCCAGTACATGTATGCATAAATAAAAAAAAATAAATATATATTTTTTAAAAGTCTGCATTTCTATTAAACTCCAAAGAATTTGGACTTCTTGCTCTGGCATGGTAAGAATGTGACCCTTCAAGCAGCTTGACAGTTCTGTGCTCTACCAACTAGCACCGCCAAACAAAGCTGTCCCTGGAGATCTTTTGGACGCTAAACAGGAGCTTTAAGTCTGACTCCATACTAGGTCTACGTGAAAATGTGTATGTGCCTTTGTACAGCCCCGTGTCCTTTTCTTAGTCCCTTGCTTCATCATTTCCGTATTCTCCCTGAAAAAAATTTCATCCATTCTCAGGGTTTCAGCTCCTTCCTCCTGAGGCAGTTCTTAAATACATTTTTATTTTCTAAAGTGCAGGGTTGCAATCTTTTTTCTTGGTTGTAATTTTCATTTAACTTTCTTCATTTAACTGAACAACCAATAAATGAATTCACTGTCATAAAGTTTTATATTATTTACATACAAAGTAAAAAATGCCTCTTTTTCTACACTACCCAAATATGCACTATTAGTTTTAATAGAAAACTCGAAATGGACTGCCTCCCCAAGTAAATGCACACATCTTCACTTGCCTTCTGACATTTTTCTCCTCTTGTTCCTTACCAGTCCCTCCTACTCAACACCTTCCAAATGATATCTGTCATCATTCTCTCCAAACCCATTCTGTTCTATGTAGTAACTTAAGCATTTATTCAGTAGTATAGTCTCAGCTCTCTGCAAGACACAATCTTACTAGAGGAGAAAAGCAGCACAAACATCAAAAGCAAAATTAAGGGTGCACGTAATATCATTTTATCATCTGTGGAACACACTCAGTGTTGAGTGAGCTCAGAACCCACACAGCGAGAGAACACGATAGGGAAGGCGGGCTGACGAAGGCAGCGTCTTAGGTATATCTTATATGTAGCACTGCAGGATTGAGGAAGGAGAAAGGAACACCTCTGTGGGAGGAAAGAGGATCCTGGCAAGACTCAGGGACAGGTGCAGGCCTAGTGTTTCTAATGGGGAAGAGGACAACCACCCTGGGATGGGGTCTAAGGCAGTGGGGCCAAACCAGGGAGGCACCCCCAGATACTGAAGGTGGCATGAAGTGTGGAACTTAGGCAGGAGGAAAAGTGGGTCTATGAGGTCTTATGAATGGAAATCAATCACTGTATGAGCCAGGCATAAAAATTGGACATTTAAGACAAAAATGAGATGGGAGGTAGTTCATAGGAAATAGTTATGAAGGACCTTTTGGGGATGGCTCACAAAATTGGCATATGGACTGTGGATATGATTAGTATTAAATCCACATTAATACAGATTTCCTTTGGTTCCTTGGAGAGGATTTGGGCCAGTGGGAACCTCACGGTCCTGACCATTCTGCCTACCATGTGACCACTTCTCTTTTACTGAACAAGCAGTTGAGAATCAGAACTCTTGAGCCTGCCAGAGCCCACATCACATAACTAAGACATTGTGGACACAGTGAACCCAGTGACCCTGATTTACATGGACAGAGGAGCGTGTGTACGTACCATCAATGTTCTGCAGGACAGCATCAATTTTCACAAAAGCCACATCTCCTTTCTCAACCAGACACCTTCAGAGTGCCAGACAGGGGAAGAGAAGAGAGGAAGTCAGAGAGACACATCCTTCATTTAGGAGAGCCGCATTACACATCCAGGGCTGGCTATCTGATAGCAACTGTAACGCCCGTTTTGTCACTAACCTACTATTATCAGTAATCCTACATGCTACAAATATAAGTAATAAAGAAGAAAACAAAACTTCCAGTTTGCTTTATAGTTATGTAATCTCAGTTCTACACACCTAACCCTCAAAAAAGCTGCATCATTTTCCCTATAATCAACAGATATTAAAGGGTAGTTTTCCAGTAAGGTGATTCTTTTTTTTTTTTTTTTCAAAAAATTTTTTTAAGATTTATTTATTTATTTATACAAGCACTGGGTACAGTTAGAAGCGTGGGAGGGTGAGAGAATTCACCAGAGCCAGAGCGGGAAACAGAACAGGCAAAGTGACGAAATACACTGCTGAGGGGAGCAGCAGGCGTGGCAGGAGAGGTCTGCGTGCCATGTGGGACCCTCGCCGGTGGCCTGGGATCGATCAGGCGCTGCAGAAGCTGCAGGCAGCTTCGCAGCCCAGCGCTCAACCGCTGCGCCACCAGGGGAGGCCCTCCAGTAAGGTGATTCTTTAGTCACACATTTTATTTTGTAAAATTGGAAACTTGTGGACAGTGAATGTATTCACTCTAATTCACAATTTAGCTCTGACTGAGAAAACCTTTGTTATTTCATTTACTACTGTGCTGTTCAGTTATAACACCACTGTCGCTGTGCAGCTGATGGATTTGCAAACGACTAAGTAACATGGGCCTGAATCAGAAAGGACAGTAAAAAGTAGTAAGATCATAAGGTGCACACAAATGTCTATAAAAGTGATAAATACTTCATGAAATATCTGTACTTGGGAATATAGAAATCTTGTACCTTGCCTTTTTGTTAGAGATCTAATTGGCTTTAAAAATTGATTCATACACCTGATAGCATCCCACCTAGATGCTGCAAGGGATTACACAAAATGGAGAGTATTTATAAACAGAAAGAGGATAGGATAAGATTATTAGCAAAAAAATATATTATTTCAGATAAAACCATGTCCCTTGAAGGTAGACAGTGGGGTCTTATCATTGCCGATCTGGAAATGGACTTGACTTTGTCCAGTTCCATGTGAGTATGGTTGCAGGTTCCACAGACATGCATAACAGAACATGGGTCAGACTTCTGCTCCCTGTATTAAACTATGGCAGAGTTTTCCCACCGTGGCATTAGTGACATTTTGGGCCAGATAATCCTTTGTTGTTGGGTGCTGTCTACCAATTAGAGACCAGCAGCACCCCTCCCCTGCCCGACACCATTTGATAGTCACAATATTTCCAGACACTACCAAATGGGCAGGGGACATATCCCACTGTTGAGAACATCTAATCAGCACCTTAGTGCTTGTTTTTCGCTATGACAGCCAAACATGGAGACAGTGTCCTGGAGGGACCTGGGTGCTCCCTCAAACAATAATCTTCACATGTTTGCTAAAGAAGGCACCCTGCTGAATGCAGGACTAATGGTCTGGGGACACAAGAATCTCACTTAGTTCCTAACAAATACTGGATGGTGTCACTAATAAGTGGAATATAGAGAAATTAAACTAAGAACCAGAGAAAGACAACTTAAAAGCTACCCCTTGAAAACTATGAAGTAAAGCATCCAAAGAGGGGCAGGGATGGGATAAGGATAGGAACAAAGAGGGGGAGAAGGATTCCCTGCCATGGACCATGGTGGTGGACTAGGGGTGATTTGGTGGTGGGTACCCTATGGTGATGGTACCTGATGGAGAGAATCCTAATGTTACACAATTCAAATAATTAAAAGTTATTTTAAATTAATAAATGAAACAAATAATTACTTAGGGAAAAAGAGAATCTCACCTTAGTTCCTAAAAAGGAATTTTGTCAGGACTGAGGTTTATTTGTATATTCAAACCAGGGTTAAAGGACTCACCTGAGAGCCCCAGTGTAGCCATAGTATCTCTCATTGCTGTTGGGAAGACACTCCCTTCCGGGAGCAGTTGCAGAGCCGATACACAGATCACAGAGAGTGGAGTTTCGCCTGTACCCAGGGGCGCAGCCTTGACTGAAGAATTCATCTGTGCAGAAGGAGAAGAGGAAGTCAGCTCTTCCTGAGCACTAGCAGTGACCTTCATCTAACTCTTAACAGGTGTGTAGGGGCCAGGATAGGCAGCCCATGTTCATTCTGTGACCTGTTGCCAACTCCGAACCTACCAGATGTAGGATTTAAAAGGAAATGTAATTGAGGCTCGGCATAGAAGTTAGTGATCATTACAGTTTAGGTGGAAGGGATTCCATGGGTGCCCTGAAAGTGTCATCCCTTATGGAAAGAGAGAAGAAAGGAAAATGACATGAAAACTTACACAAAAGGGATAAAACTAGAGGTCTTACTCCCTGAGCTTGTGCCACCTTTTCTCAAATAGTTCCTTCCTCTGCTGTTTATCAGAAGAGGCTTTAGAAGTCCAATGTCAAGAAGGGGCTTGGGGGCCTCCCCTCGTGGCACAGTGGTTGAGCGCTGGGCTGCAAAGCTGCCCGCAGCCTCTGCAGTGCCGGTTTGATCCCCGGCCACTAGTGAGGGTCACACATGGCGCCCACACCTCTCCTGCCACGCCCGCTGCTCCCCTCAGCAGTGTATTTCGTCTGTCTGCCTGTTCTGCTCCCTGCTCTGGCTCTGGTGAATTCTCTCACTCTCCCGTGCTTCTGACTGTACCCAGTACTCGTATAGATAAATAAATTTTAAAAAAAGGGCTTGGGGAGGGGGGATCTCCCTTGTGGCACAGCGAGTTAAGTTTCAGCACTATGAAGCTATCAGCAGCACGAGTTTGATCCCCAAGTTGCTTACTCACACTCCTGTTTTACCCACTGCTATTTCAGTCAGTTTCCTGTTCTGCTTCCCATTCTATCTTTGGTAAATCCTCTTACCCCACCCCACCCCCTCACCCCTGCATCTCTGGCCTATACCCCAGCTCTTATATGCATTAATAAATAAAATATATCTTTAAAAAAAGGGGGGGCTGGGGGTATTTCACAGCTCAGCTGCTCTCTAGGTTGGTAAAACTGCCAGGAGGCTCAGGAGAGCAATGGTGGTGCCTTTGCTGGTGGCAGCAAAGCTTCTGAATGTCACTCCAGCCACATTTTTCTTTCTGTCAGGTTGGTGTCTTAGAACACTACTGTGCAGAAACCGTCTCATCTCCAAGTCCCCACACATAGGACTTGTCTGGCTCATAACTATCTTGAGAGGCCTCTCCTTTTAAAATAAATATATTTGCAGGTGGCAAGCTCAGGAAGTTAATGTAAATAAAAACCATTAGAAAACATTTGTCCATGGTGCACTTTTTTTGGGAAGGCAGAACTAAGCTCATACCTGAAGAAATTCAGAGATCACAGAGACTAAACTGATTTCCAGGTCTCATGCTTAGAGAGGTAGATAGAAAGAAAGAAGGAGTTGGGTTTCTAATGACCAATAGAACACTTCTTTCTGGCCTGGCTATGACCACAACACCCTCCCAGGAGCACTCACCAAATTCACACTTGTTGATTTTACTATAGAGAAGGCCCATAGGTATGTTCCAGCCAGCGGTTCTATCAACTCCCGTGTGGCAGGACTTCTTGCCTTGCAGAGAGTTCCAGGTGGTGCTAGTATCACTTGCCTTAACCACGGCCACAGCAAGATACCCTATAAGAAAGGAAGGACTGAAACCTTTGGGCCTTCCAGAGTGTCTGTCTGCAATCAGAGCCTGTCTGCAATCTCCCTTTGGAAGCAAAATTATCCTGAATCATTCCTTCTGTTTTGGAAAGGGTCTTCCCAGTAACTGAGGTGAGGTACATGTCACTTTGTCAGACTAATCTGAACTTAGAAAAAAAAAATAGTAAGGGTCTCCCTGGTGACACAGGAGTTAAAGTCTCAGTTCTAATAAGCTATCGCCAGACACTGCAGCATGAGCTCAATGGCACAGCAGACCTCCCCTGTCTCGTCCACTGCTCCCCTCAGCAGTGTATTTCAGTAGATCTGCCTGTTCTGCTCCCCACTCTGTCTCTGGTGAATCCTCTCACCCCCTGTGCCTCTGGCCTACACCCCAGTTCTTATATGCATAAATAAATAAAAATAAATATTTAAAAAAATAGTAAGAATACATTATCATCTGAACAATGACTGATGGATAATAGCTGCATACGGCTACTAAAGTTATAAACCAGCAACTCCCCCTATACTGTGGAATATCAGAGGGATGGACACTTAGGTGTTCATGTAACACCAACATTTTATACATTAACAATTATTAGGACAGAGTAGTAAATGACCAATATACTACAGAGAATATCTGACTAGGTATTTTCTGATAAGGATATTCAGTTTTGTACCAAAATAACTATAAAAGTAGAAACCGTCAAAACCAGCTCAACTGCCATCTTTAGCAGCAAACACATGCAAGTCCTTAAAATTGGGAATGGGACATCAACCTATGATTTCAATTTTCCAATTTAATTAATTAAGTAAACTATTTACAACAGAAAAGAGAAGCTGTATTATAGATGGAGTAAGGACAGTTCTTTTCACATTTTCCTACCGAAAATATGTGGGAAATGATCTTAAGAGTGATAGGGAAAGGCTGGGATCTTATCATTAGGGAAAGTCACAAGGACAAAATCATATACCAATGGCTGGAAAATGAACTGGAGAGACCTAAGCCGAGGGGCTTTGGGGGCACAGTGCTCACCTTGGTGTAAGATCTTCTAAATTGCTTGAACCCCCATCTCTCCAGATTCACCAACTCTCAGAGTCCTTGGGGAGAACCTGGTTGGCCTGGGTTCCTGGATTCAGTTCTGGCGGGAAGACTGGCGAATTTCATACTCCTAGACACCTGCCTGTGTGGCCTCTCTCCTCAGCCTTGCCAGGCACAAATAAGCAAGACTGCTTGGCTGGTGCTAGCTCTCATCTAAAGCTGCACAGGCCTTGTGTAATGGGAGGCAGCTCAGTGTGCTGGGGACAGCATAATTTGCTTACTGGCTATAGCAGCCTAGACAATTTACAAACTGGTCCTCATATGCATCCTTACAGGACAAGATCTACCTCATTGGACCAGGTGAAAATTTATGCGTGCAGGTCATGGTCAGTATGAAAGAGTCACCACCATTTTGAACTATTATCCTTCTGTGATTCTTTTGCATTCTAAAAAATTGGTCTCTTCTATTGCCATACCTACTTCTGGTTTGAATTTAAACTTATAAACTTACCTTACTCTTTCCCAAAAGCAGTGAGAATTTATCTTAATCTCATGAAGTTACCAATCCCAACTCACCTTTTTCTGGTGTGTTTGTACACTGAGCTCCTTGAGTTTCTGGAGAAGTGAAAATAAAGTCATCAATCGCTCATTGATAGTGATTGGAAATCATGCCTTTCTTATGTTGCAGCACAGAGTAAAACTAGTACTTACCTATCAGTCAAATTACCAAAAAGTCTAGGCCATCTGGATAATGCAAGTTCACTTTAGCTCACTGCCCTCTAGAATTTACCTACAGGTTGTGAATTTCAAGTTTTCTGTCCTGTGACCACAGTGATTGTCCTGTGACCACAGTGTTCCTTGCCAAATATACTTGGATCCCAGCACCAGGGCAAGAGAAGTGTGAGTTTTGGAAACAAGAAAGCCCTTTTAGGAATCCCAGCTGACAACTATCTTCTGCAGTGGGGTCGTTTTTACCTGGAACTTCACAGGGCAAAGCCCTGATGGGAAGCCCTGTGAGAGGTCCCATCCTTCAAGATGACTGCGGGGATTAGATAAGAAGGAGCCTGAAGCCTGGGAAGTAGGAGATTCTTAGTAAGCAAGAGCTTTACAGAGACTCCAGTTTGAATCAGGCTGTGATTTTCCTATCTCCTCTCTCCATGGCCCTGAGGAAATAAAGCCCAGAGAGGCGCTTCCTCCACTTACTGTAGTTCTCTGCCAGGACAGGCACAAGGCCACACATGCCCGCTATGTAGATGTAGCCTCCATCCAAGCTCATGGCATCAGCTTCTCCTTTCTGCAAAGACACCGCACATCACAACAGATGAAAAGAGGCCACCTCCCGTCCCACTTCCCCCTTCAGTTATTTTCTTGAAGCAGCCTTCCAGCAGGTCATGCAGGTGCTGGGAGACAGCAAGTACTAGTTCTGGACCTGCAAAGGATTAGTAAGGCACACCCAGCACACAAAATAAAATGTGCTGTCATTTTCATCCCAACTATGATGAACTATCAAGTAACTCTGGGTGCTTGCTTAGTTTCTTCAGGAGCAAAAACTCACATTCACTCCTCCTGTCCCCTCATAGGACACACTGTCTCAAAGAAGAGTTGTCACTTCTAAGACAGATGAGTGCAGTCAGGGTCTCGAGGCTGTGTCTGTGACAGAGTGCCTGATGGGGATGCCACCCCCAAAACTTGGTCATATCTGCTGAGTGCTATTTCAGTGCTTGATGCAGATATGATATTTAGTGCACAAATGTGACCTAATTCTCAGATTTAAGAAGCCCTGAATGAGGGAGATGCTTAAACTCAACAAGACTGTCAAACTTTCCAGTGGGGTTGGCCATATACTTTCTAGCAGTACACGCTAAAGGAATAATCAGTTATGTGGGCAATTATTTGGGGAAAATGTGTAAGTGGGCAAAAACATGTAAGTATGACTCAGAGTAGCAAAAAGGTAGAAACAGACTAAATGATGTTATGACAAATGGGAAAATAAATTGCATCATATCCACAGTATGGAACAGATTACAACTGTAAAATGTCATGTGACAACATGGGTGGGACTGGAGGTGACTTGTGCTAAGCAAAAGAAGTCAGGAAGTAAAAGACAATTATCAGATGGTCGCTCTCTTATGTGGGATATATGTAACGAGAGCATATGAACTAATAACTCTCAAACTGTATAAAAAATACAGTGGCAGGCCTCTCTGGTGGCACAAGGGGTTAAGATGCAACCTACGAAGCTATCCACAGCCACTGCAGCATGAGTTCGATCCCCGGCCAGGGAGCTATCCACCCGGCGCAGCAGACCTCTCCTGACTTGCCTGCTGCTCCCCTCAGCAGTGTATTTCAGTCACTCTGCCTGTTCTGTTCCCCACTCTGTCTCTGGTGGATCCTCTCACCCTCCACACCTCTGGCCTGTACCCCAGTTCTCGTATGCATAAATAAATCAATCTTAAAAAAAATTACAGTGGCTACCATCAGGGAAGGGCAGAGGGGGCATTCGGAGAGGGGAAGGAAGAGGACATCGGATGGACCTGACAGCTGGAAGGGCCCTAGAACTTTGGTGGTGTGTAAAGTGAGACTTAGACACGTGGAGGTGAAGACGTACCCCCGAAATTAACATAATTTGGTAAATCAATACATTTTTTTAAAATATGCCAAAAGAAAAAAGAACAGCATGAACACTGCCTCCACCCCAAAAAATCATGTTTTCTAAAAATAATCTGTGACATGGGAAAAACTTACTAGATACCAGGCGAAATAAGAATAATGAGCTATATGAGCATATCATATCTATATTATGATCCAATGAATAAGATTTTTCTCTCTGGGATTACAAGTACTCCTTATCTTCTTCTTTATGTCATATAGGATTTTTAAATTTCCCAAAGTAAACAAGAAATGACCAACAGAGCCAATCAACTTGACCATCACACTTGCCATGGCTCACTGAGGCCACAGGAGCCTGCCTCATGGGCCAGCGGACACTGCTCAGATTGCCCTCATGTGCCTAACACAGAATCAGAGCCCAAAGTAACCCCTCAGATCTGCAAGGTGCAAGTTCCTCTGATGCTGGGGTCCCCTAGTGAGGGCAAGGTTCTTGGGAATTGGCGTTTCCATTTTATTACCAGGAACACTCATCCAGCCTGAGGGACAGGCAAGCAGCAGTAGCTGGGATGCTGCGCTATGGAGGCAGGAATAACTCACCGAGATCTTGGCAATGCAGTCTTCGGGGGACTCTGATGATTCGCACTCTATTTTCCCTCCACTATTGACACTCCATTCATCACACTTGGCCCTCTCGTGGTGGCCAATTGCACACCACTTCACCTTCTTGCATTCGTCTTTTGTGGCATCAGGGCCTAGGGCATAAGAAAGAGAGAGACCCACAGTTCACATGAGATGCCAGGCATCGCCCGCTGATTACCAATGCCACCAACTCTCTTCACACAAATGCTGGGATTTACCAGCAACACACCAAGAGATTCTACTCTGGGAATTAACCTCTTAGAAGGCAGAGGCAAAATTAATCTCTTGCTTGAGTTCTTATTGCTTAGATTTAGTTTAAAATAATTGCTTCAGCGAAGCCAACTTTTCTTCCCCACCCCTTGACATTATCACTTCAAGCTATTGGGGTGTTTTTTTTTTTCCCTATTTTTTTTTGAAATAGCTTTTAACTACCTGAGCTATTCTCATTATTCATTGTTTATTTTCTGTTCTCTGCAGGAAAACAAAAACTTGGCCATAGAATAGGGTGTGCTTGTCTGTTCTCCAGGGCACACTCAGTGTTCAGGGAACACGAACTAAGGTTAATGGTCAGCGCAGTAAATCCCTTGAACTGTCAGACTCAGTTCCAGGTCACTTTCTCAAGGAAGCCATACCTCAACTCCAGGACCTGATTTTCTTTGTTTTCCTAAGATCAGGATTTTGTTCTGATTTATTTTCTTCTGAGCATGTGTCACTTTTTACTGATCGTTCAATAGAGTGACTATTCATTGAACATTTTCCTTCTCCACTGGTGAGAAAGTTGCATGACAACAGAATCTAATCTATGTCCATCTCACTATTGTACAGCCAGCAGCTAGAATAGTTTATGACTGCATTGTCAGTAAGTGTCTGTTGAGTGAATGAGGGACCCAATAACAGGAGCAAGATGGAGCTGTCTAGAGTTCCAACTCCACTATGCCACATGTTGACCCTAGTCCTGGCTGCAGATATGCAAGTTTATAACAATCCTATTCTATTCTGTTCTATTCCATTCTATTTGACTTACTTTGTGCCAGGTTAATAGCTTCACAAAGAGCAACTCTGATTTATATAATGCTAGTATTGATCCAAGTCATTTTAAACATGAATTTCCTTTAAGCCCTTTGGTAATACCCAGAGCCATCTCATGATGATTAGTGCCATTTAGCATCAGTCTAACACTGGGCACCACAGGCAGGCACATAAAGGAGCATCAGGGCTGGTGCTGAGCATCTAGAAAGACTTTAAGTACTGAGTCCCCACCCTTACCAGTCTGCAAGCTCCTCCGGTCACACCATGCTTCCTGAGTACACTTACGTGTTTCTTCCCTGAGGTTCCGAAGAGCAGTGACATACTCATATCCCAGGAACAACCAGGTATCCATCTTAGAGGGAATCCTTAAAAATCCCTGAGCAGAGTCCTTAAATAGAAGGTCCTTTCCATGACTGGATCCAAAGACCTGGAATGTTTTAGCTGTTCCTTTGCCATAATGTTCCTGTGCATAATCAAACACAATAGTGAATGGCTACAGTGGCAAGGAAGGCTGCAAAATAGGGTTGAAGAAAAACAAAAACCCAAAAGGGGCCTCCCTGGTGGTGCAAAGGATTGCAGTACTATGAAGCTATCAGCAGTCACTGCAGCATGAGTTCGATCGCTGGCCAGGGAGCTAACCCACATGGCGCAGCAGACCTCTCCTGACTCACCAGCTGCTCCCCTCAGCAGTGTATTTCAGTCAATCCACCTGTTCTGCTCCCCACTCTGACTCTGGTGAATCCTTTCACACCCTGCACCTCTGACCTATACCCCAGTTCTTGTATGCATAAATAAATAAATCTTTTTTAAAAAACAGAAAACAAAAGTATAAGAACAGCAAAAACAAAATTTAGAGTAGGAAACTTTCATGATGCCAGGAGAAGTCAGTCAGGCCTGCTCCAGCATACCAAGTGCCTTGTCCACTCACAGCCCGCCAAGGGCCAGGCCACACCCTGTTTCCTGGAAAGTGTTTCTGTGCCTGTCTTTCTGGCTGGCTTGCTTGATAGCTCACTGAATACAAGAAATGCATCTGCCTCAGGGGCTGCCACTGTGACTGCCACTTCAACTTTTGATGGCAAGAAACTCTGGACAGCAGGAAGTTGGCAGCCTGGCTTTCCATTGCTCCAGGAAAATAATGCCACTGTGTGCGTAGCTCCCTTGCAGTCAGGCTGAGGGACATCAGCAGAAGTCATGTCCTTCTGGAGAGGTCATGGAAGGCCTCATGGGGGAAAAGCCTTGGCCTTGAAGGCCTAGTTGAGATTAAAAGAAACAGACTAGAGCAATAATTCACTGGTCTGAGTGTAAGGGGCTCACAGGTGATAATACAGGACAAGGCTCTACATGACTCAATTAAGAATCTCTGCTGGGCATGTTTTGACAAGTGGATGGCAGGTGGCATGGTTCCCACTATGGCGGTCTATAGTGCAAGAAGGGACTGCAGGAAAAGCAGGGACCCCTGGATATCAGGCCTGATTGCCCTCTCCTGGCATGTTGAACACAGGAAGGGAGCAGGGCGCGTGGGGATACCTGGGCATAGTTGAGAAGTTCCCAAATCGAGTCCTCCTTGCCACCCACACTCCGGGCCACAACAGCATGGGAGGGGACCTGGGCCAGGTAGCAGTCCTTGTAGTCTTCCACGGACTTCCGGGTGTTGTCCCTGCAGAGCAGCTCATACTGGTCCCTGTCAGCCTTGTCTTTCAGGTGGTTTGGGGGAGGAAAGTCCAAAGGACCCAACTTCAGAGAGTTGTCAGCTTTGGTCTCCCCTTCCCTTCCCTTTGAATTCCATTGAATCAAAATATGTAAGCTGAGAAGTCTAGAGCAATGATCGAGGGCCAGGGCACATGAGGAAACTGACTTGCTCCAGATCCCACAACCTGTTACAGGCAAAAAAGCTTCTGCTGCCCATACAGGGGTGACTGCCCCACACCCCAAAGAGATCTCATCTCAACAGGTAGACTGTAGGCCAAGGGTGGCCAAACCTGCCCCCAGTCTTTTGCTTTGGCAGCAATGACCAGGGGGCAGAATCCTGTGCTCAGGAGGAGGTTGAATAACGGAAAGAGGCCCAGGAGTCCAGGTAGAAACCTATGCAATGGTAAAGGAGGAACATACTAGGCTCATGTCTGACCATTGAGCATGAAAAAGGGATCAGGAAAAAAAAAGACAGGACTCACTAGACAGAATGTATTCTCAAATTCTATCACTTACCAAGTACCGTTGAGTGCTTGACAAAGGCCACATCCCCAGCACCATCAGCCAGACACCTGTGGAAAAGAAACACATTAGGAGGGTTCCTGCAGGGCAGACCCTTCTTTACCTTGAAGTTCTGATCAAACTGTATAGTCCAGGGACAAAATCTGGGAGATGATTTAGAGCATACACACAGCTGAAATACCTGTGCTAATGGGGTGCTAATATCTAGAGTACCACTGTGATAGGGGTATGGGGGGTGAGCTCACAGAAGCTGGAGGGCCTTCATCATGTGCCCCAATGCAGCAAAAAAACATTAAAGATATTTTAACATGGAGAAGAGTTTTCAGACTTTTAAATGGAGGATGAAGGTATAGTGTCTCCTGAGGAAGGAAATGTGCCCTTGGCTGGTTATAAAACCAACCAAGGGAAAAAAGGGACCAGGAAATTAGCCACATGAGCTGTCTGCTCAGGAATAGCAAGGGAGGCAGGAGAGCACTGTGCATTGAGCAAGTGAGTGCCGGTCACTAAAGAACGCCCAATACTAGGGGCTCACCTGTGTCTTCAGGCTCTGCCCAGTCCAGAGTGAGAACACTCTGGCCAGGTTTGAAGGCTCTGGGGACACAAATAGGTTCCCAGGAGAGGGGCTTCCTTGTCCATGTAAGTTGAAGGGAATATGCACTGGCCTGACCTTGGGAGTCCCAGATGGATCACTGAGTCGCTGTGAGGGGTTTAGGCTTCCCGGACAACCCTTTGCAGGCTGGGTCTGTTGTAGGCCAGGGAGGGTTCCCCACCAGGACACTGAGCACTTTGGAGGCCCAGAGGACACAGACTAACTCACTTGAAGGCGCCTGAGTAGCCGAAGTATGGTTCGTGGTTAGAGCAGGCGCACTTTTCGGACCCAGTCCCTGAACACAGTTGACACAGTTGGGGGAATTGCTTCATATCCGCACAGGGCACACAGCTGCCCCCGAAGAAACTGGCCGCTGCTGCTCAACAGATATGGAAAACAGGGCATCAAAAAACCTGGTCACAGGCAATGACAGACCCCCGCCCAGGCTCACTGGGGAACAGAGTGACCCAATAAGACCAGCACACCCAGACCTGGTTCACCCTCATGCATGCTCATTCATCAAGATCAAGGGTTTCCAAAACAGACTGCATTAACTCCTGTCCTCTCATTTCCTCCCCAAGGACTACCCTGTGCCTACCACCCACCAGTGCCCATCTCAGGTTGCTACCTGCCTTGTCAGACTGCAACAGTGCAGAGACAGGTCCCTTCTGAGAGCCTGACCAGAAAATGGGACACCCACTTGGAGAGGTGCAGTGCAAGCTCCTGGCCAGCAGATGCCACCAGAGAGAAACCTCCAGCAGAATGAAACACTATGGCCAAAGAATCCCTGGGAAGCGTACAGTAGACCCAGTAACCTTGGCCCTGACTGAAAGTCCTTTTGTCAGGCCAGACGCTCTTTCCCCCATTCTTCAGGACAGCCTCTGATGGGGTGTTGGGAACTCAGAGAAGAAAAGGTTCAGCTGACACCCCCAAGCACTGTAGATCTGCCAGTTTAAAGCTGATTTACCTCTCACCTCCACACATATTTGTCATCACATATTTGTCTAATCATGACAGAGTGACCCCGGTGTGGCCTGTGTGGGCATCAGAAGAGATGCCTACTCCAGAGCACCCACCCTCCTGCCAGCTCACCTTTCAGAAGAGATTCCTGTGGCTGAGGCAACTGCCAATAAAGGAGGCCCATGGGGATGTTCCACCCTGCGGACCTGCCAAGGCCTGTGTGGCAGGTCTTCTTGCCTTTGAGTTCATTCAGCTTGAAGTCGGTGCCCTTCTTCACCACGGCCACAGAGAAATAGTGGGTTTGTGGATCTACAGAGAAACGGTGTGAATGAAAGACCCTCCACCTGGGCTACAAGGTAGGAAAGGAGAGCTCAGAGGCCACACTCAACGAGGGTTACGTCATAAGGAAGGAGTGATAAGGAAAACCTTCCTAGGCTTGCAGCGGGGAGAAAGGGCTATAGGGAGAACATTTGTAACAACCATCCAGGCGAGCACAGGTACAAAATGCCCCAAATGTTTTTTCCAACCCTACCCTGCAGGGTGTCTACCAACATCTACCAACTCAAACCCAGCAGGAAACTGGAGTTGCAGTAACAGAGCCCACATTCTTGACCCCCTTCCTCCCTGGGAAAAGCTGCCCCCCCAGCATGTTCCCTGACTATTTCCAGGAATAGTCAGGCTGCTCTTAGCAGAGATGTAAGGCTGTGGGACTATGAGTGTGGGCTCTAGCAGGGCCTCTCACCTACGTGTGGCATGGATGGTTCTTGGAGGACTCCTCCACACAACTCTAAACCCTAGTGGTTCAGATCAGGCTGCACACAGTCTGCTCTGTTTCTCTAGGACCACATTTCCTGCCTCAGGAGGTCAGTATCAAGACCACCAGTTCTTATCCATCCCAAAGCACCCAGAGGCCTGTGGCTGCCAATAGGGCCCCTCATTCCCCAATACTTCCCCATGATGAATGCTCATCAGTATCTAATCTCCATGACCCGCCTGAACAAGACAAGACTGAGTATCTACAGAACAAAGTCTAGACCCCCTCCTGGGCCCCGAGGGAGCACTTACTCTCTTTTGATCCATAGTACTCTGCCACTACAGGCTTGAGGTTGTAGGGGGCCAGGCCTGCCTCAAACACCAAACCTGCATCCAAAGTCACCGCATCTGCTTCTTCTGCCTGAAAGGAAAGAGACCAGACCCAAGTGAAGCCTCACTTCTAAGGAACGCCCACCTAAATATAGGTATGTAGGGGTGACTGGTGGGGTTTTGGATCTGATGCCACAAGAACCCCTTAACTTGACCAGACCACACATAACACTGAAGGCTTCAGTTGACTCCACCATATTCTTATCCCTCCTGCATAGCAGAGGGAGTGTTTTATTTATCTCTTTTCCCTGGTGAGAAGTCTACTTCTTGGCTCAGAATGCTATTGTGAGTTTTCGGGATCAACCTGAATTACAGAAGCTTTACCTGTAGGCCTCCCTGGAAAAAGCTGCCCACACCAGACTGGGTACAAAGTACACACACAGGTTCTAAAGGGGTTGTAGTCAGGGACTCAGGTCCCCCTACCTGCCATGTTCTTCACATATTTACATTTCCAGAGCATGGAAGTGCTTTCATGTGGTGACCTTTTTATCTTGGACCATCTGCTGAGGTCTTTCTCAGGTTCCTCTGTGGAGCCCTCTTTGTCGGGGAGAAGAGCCTTGATCACTTCTTCTTCACTCTGATTCTATACTCAGTACTAGGCCTTCCTGCACTGGGCCCAGATAACTGCAGGGGATTTATTCAGTGACTGACCTTTCTGTGGGCTTAGCTCCTTACTTATACTCTGAGTTAAATATAAAGCACTAATTGTGACTTCATATGGCTCATCCCTCATTTAATCCAACTCCTGAGGCATATTACAACTCACTATTATCTAACTCACATTTAAAAATAGAGGCACAGAAAATTTAAGTCATTTCTTCAAGGCATATAACCCATTCATGAAGTTGGGATTTGAATTCAGGCAGTGTGGATTTATTTAATCCATTACTCTGTTATTTACTCATGAAATTTTTTTGTTTGGTTGGTTCAGTTTCTGCTTCTTCTACTTGTCATCTTTAAACTAAGTTCACTTGAAATGTGATAGATATCTTTCCACTAGGCCTAGAATTTATTTTCTCTTAAAGTGAGAAACACCATCTTGATAAAAAATTTTATTGCATTTTCTTGCTTCAAATATCTTTAATCAAAATGACCTCTTAAGAAGTCCTTGCTAGTGCCTCCCCTGGTGGTGCAGGTGGTTGAGCACCGGGCTGTGAAATTGTCCACAGCCTCTGCAGCCCGGTTTGATCCCGGCCGGCGGGCAAGGGTCCCACATGGCACGGCAGACCTCTCCTGTCTCGCCCGCTGCTCCCCTCAGCAGTGTATTTTATCAGTCTGCCTGTTCTGCTCCCCACTCTGTCTCTGGTGAATCCTCTCACCCTCCCGCACATCTGGCCTGTACCCCGGTTCTTGTATAAATAAATAAATAAATCTTAAAAAAAAAGCCCTTGCTAGTATTACAAATAGTTCTTACTGATTAAATTACAAGGCAGATGCTATAGCTCAGTAATCTGAGTCATGTTATAGGTAAATAATAAGACAACAGTATTTCTAAATAAAATAAAATAATAATGTAAGCCACACTAAATATTTGTTGAACTGAAATTTTTATTTTAATAATTGCAGTTATTTATGTTGTTATTTTATCATAATAAAATAAATATCATAAAATTTACCACTTAACCATTTTAAAGTGTGTACCTCAGTGCCATTAATGCATTCATATTGGAGAAGGACCCTTTTATTCCACAGCTATACACTGATATGATAATTTTGCTGACTGTATCATTCCAGTTTGACATTTTCACACTGTTGAAACATATCATTCCACTGTCTAACAGTATAGTTATCAAAAACTCTGGTGTTGCATTTTCTTTGTGGCTTTCTTGATATCACAAAAGGTAGGTTAAACCTCTGGAGACTTCCCCCATGCATGCCACACACACACCATAAAATAAAAATAAATAAGCAAACAAAGAGGAGCTTTAGCCAAAGCAGTGAGTCTTGGGAGATTAGTAACCAAGGAATGAAGGCCTAACTTCTGGGGTCTGTTAGGACAAAAGGGATTATGAGGGGAAAATGAAGCCGCAGGGAGGGGGAGGCTTAAAGTCAAGCCAGACTTCCCACATACAGATAACCAAAGCCAGAAGAAGGTGCTCACACTGGGTGAGCATCCACAGGAACAACAGATTTGGGCTCTCGAGGATTATGGAGTTTGGAACTGTTGTGAGATGCAGTGGAGAATTGCTGTGTATGAGGTATTTAGCTTTGTGTACATGGTGAATGAAGGCTACAATCACAGAGGTAACTCTAGAAAAGGAAGTTACCAGGAATAAAAAGAAAACAATTTTAAACTGGTGTTTTTCAAAACAAAATATATGACTGTTGAAATTAAAAAAGTGAATGAATATGGAAGAATTTTTCCTGGATACTACCAGAAAGAAATGCGTAAATGGAACCTATGAAAGAGGCATGAAGATAAAGAGAGAAAATTAAAAAAGGTCTAAGGTGTCACCTTGTAGTCCTAGAAATATATATATATTTTTTAATAGAGAGATGAAAAGGACCTCCCTGGTGACATAAGGGATTAAGTCTCAGCAGCCATTGCAGCACGAATTCGATCCCTAGCCAGGAAGCTAACCCACAGCAACAGGCCTCTCCTCTCTCCCACTGCTCTCTCAGCAGTAGATTTCAGTACATCTGCCTGTTCTGCTCCCCACTCTGTCTCTGGTGAATCCTCTCACACACACACCCCCATCCCCCAGACCTCTGGCCTATACCCCAGCTCTTGTATGCACAAATAAATAAATCTTTTTTAAAAATTATAAAAAGGGTCTCCTTGGTGTCACAAGGGTTGAGATGCAACTTATGAGGCTATCCACAGCCACTGCAGCACGAGTTCGATTCCTGGCCGGCCAAGAAGCTACCCACATGGCACAGCAGACCTCTCCTGTCTTGCCCTGCTGCTCCCCTCAGTAGTAGTGTACTTTGATCAAGCTGCCTGTTCTGTTCCCTACTCTGTCTCTGGTGAATCCTCTCAATCCCCGCGCCTCTGGCCTGTACCCCAGCTCTTGTATGCATAAATGAATATATCTTTAAAAATATTATAATAAAAAATAGGGAGATGAAGTAAAGGCAGTATTTAAAGAGAAAATGGCTGCAAATTTTCCAGACTGATGAAAAACCTGATTCCACAGATCCAACCTCAGCTGCCTATTTCCACAAACATCAATATTATATTGAAGCTACACAACGTCAGAGACCAGGGAAATGAAGTCTCAGAGATGATTAAGGAATGACAATGCAACACCAGAGTTTTTGATGACTATACTGTTAGACAGTGGAATGATATGTTTCAACAGTGTGAAAATGTCAAACTGGAATGATACAGTCAGCAAAATTAGCATTCAGGAGTAAGGGGAAGATGAAAGCATTTACAGAGAAAACAAGCACTCAACTGAGGAAGTTTAACACAAAGAGATTGGCTCCAAAGAATCACCAAAGAAATAATTCAAGGAGAAAACATCCCAGAAGGATGTTTTGAAATATGATAAGGAATGATGAATAAATTAAAGGCAAAAATATAGGTAACTTCAGATAGTCTTCTACCTTTTTGTCTGTCTATCTGTTTCTCTCTCTCTCCCTCCATCTCACTCTTCCTTTTTGAATTTTTGGATGTGCGTACATACACGCACCACCATACAGACACACACGTATGTATATTTATTTAATTCTACATGGTGTCTACAAATATAAGAAGTATCTATTTGTTAACAAAAATAAACAAAAATTATTAAAGAGTGATATCTAAACAGGGAAGAGGTAAATCTGAACTACTGGATTCCAGAGTCTGTTTATTGATTAGGAAGGGACTTGCCAATATTTTACTGAAATGCTTTGATAATCTAAAAGCATAGAGTAAAAAATGTAAGGAAAATCATGATAAATATAAATATTTCAATTCATTATCAGGAGGGGGGGGAGTGAAGTACAAGGAAAACAATGCAAATAAACACTCACACAAACTCATTTTTTTTTAACTCAGAAAAGGAAAAATCAGAAACAGGCAAAGCAGTACTAAGAGAAATCAAAAGTAATATGAGAAAAGTAAATCCAAATGTATCAGTAATTACAATATCCATAGTCTAAATTTACCACATGAAATAAATGAGATTGTCGGATTGCATTAATAATATCTGACAATAAACAGTTTTCAAAAACCACACCTAAAGCATAAGAACATAGAAAGTTGAAAGTTGAAGGAATGGAAAAAGATATAGGAGGAGAATGCTAACCAAGAGAAGATTGATATATCATGTTCTATCAGAAAAATAGAGTTTATTCAAAAAGCACTGCCAGAAAGAGATTATTTCATAATGATAAAATATCAATTCTATCAAGAACGCTACAGATTACACTCTCATATTGGCTGGAGTGAAAATCATATTTGCATAACAATTAAATACTTATGGCATTGTCTTAAAATCAAATACATACCCCACAGCACAGCAAATGTGCTTCTATATACATATTTAAGAAAAGAGAAATGATTATTACTTTTGCCCCAGGAGGTGTGTATAATAATATTCCTCAATCCCTGATGAGAATAACAAGTGACTGCAAACAATCCAAATTGCCTAATGACCAGAAAAGAAAAAATAAATTGTGGTATACAAATATAATGAAGCATTGTAGAGCCGCGAAAAGGAAAGAACAACAATTATATTCAGCAACAACAGATACATTCAACAGCGTAATTCCTTCTACCATCCTACTGAGGAGGGAAAAGTCAGCCTGGGAAGACAACACATGGTATTGTCATGTTTATACAATTTTTTAAGAAACAAAACCATGCAGTCACTTACACATACCTACATAAGTTTCAAAACTGAAAGAAAGGGCCAGAAAATCTTAGGATTGACTCTGTTCTGGATGGTTAAACACATGGGTAGTTTTACATAGAGTCAGCAAGTTATACCACACCCCAAGTGCTGTCTTTCCCATAGCATCCATTGCTGCCCCACAGTAGCCCAAGAAGTAAATGGCAATAACCAAATTTTGCAAGCTAGTTGTGGTTGGTATTATTTTATATTATTAACATTACACTTATTTATTTATTTTTTTAATGATAGCATTTATTTTTTTTTAAAGATTTAGTTATTTATGCATATAAGAACTGGAGTACAGGCCAGAGGGGTGGGGAGTGAGAGGATTCACCAGACACAAAGTGGGGAACAGAACAGGCAGATTGACTGAAATACACTGCTGAGGGGAGTACCCGGCAAGACAGGAGAGGTCTGCTGTGCCGTGTGGGTGGCTCCCTGGCCTGCCTGGGGTTGAACTTGTGCTGTGATAGCTGCGGATAGCTTCATAGGTTGCATCTTAACCCCTTGTGCCACCAGGGAGGCCCTATTAACATTATATTCAAAAGAGAGGGGGGCCTCCCTGGTAGCGGAAGGGGTTAAGATGCAACCTATGAAGCCATTTGTAGCCACTGCAGCATGAGTTTGATCCCCGGCCAGGAAGCTACCCACACGGCACAGCAGACCTCTCCTGACTCACCCGCTGTTCCCCTAGGCAGTGTTTTTCAGTCAGTCTGCCTGTTCTGTTCCCCACTCTGTCTCTGGTGAATCCTCTCACCTCCCACATTTCTGGCCTGTAACCCAGTTCTTGTATGCATAAATAAATCACTCTTTATGAAAAATTATAAAAAAATAAAAGTTAAGAGAGGGATTATGGATCAAACCTAGGAGTAAGTCATGTATCCAGGATTATAATTAAACCATGATAGTAACTAAGGTCAGTTTCTCTCTGTCTTTCTCTGTCTCTCTCTCTCAGACACAAACACAAACACATGCACACAAACACACCAGCTGTTTGTACCGAATCACTGATTCCTTCAGTTAATCACGCGCCATCTGGCTGAATCTCTATCTCCTACCTCATCCCTCTTTCCAGTCCCTCTGTGAGGTCCTTTGTATACACTATTGTTCGTTGTTGTTCACTGCCTGGGGTATTCTACCCACGCTCTTGGGAGGCTCACCCATGCTTACCCCGGGGGGGTCTCAGCTTTATTGCCTCTCTCCCAGGGAAACTGCCCAACACTAGGGACAAAGCAAGTCACTGTTGAAGTCTGTTGAACACTACTCTTTCCCTTCATTGTATGTCTCACAACCTGAAATGACATGTCTAGTTGTTTTCATCATTTTCTTCTCTTCTGACTTAACTGCAGTAAGTTCCTCAAGGCTCAGGACCACACAGGGTCTGACACACATTCAGGTGCAGGAACAACCTTCACAGCGTGATCGGGACCAGCCATCACCTGCAATCCTGACACAGTTCCTCTTCTCTGTGAGCAGCTCTTGTCTACTTCCCATGTCCCATAACCCGCAAACAGTGTTATGGGGCCATTTTGATAACAAATATTCTTGTTTTTTTTCTGAGTTCAGAGACTAAGTACCTCAAAATGGTCACCTCTCAGAGCACGTTGGATTTTGCTTATGTCTCATTGAAGATTACCACTCCTATTTCAGCTTCCAGAGTGATTTTATTAGCAGTGGGGGTGAGTGCCCCAAGCCTCAGCCTCCTATCTGTGCGTACAGAATTGTTCCCAAGTGACAGGAGGGCGCAAAGTATGTGCTTTCTCTCCCCTCCTTTAGGCAGCAGCAACTTACCGCAATGGCCTTGATGCACTCAAGGTAAGAGGTTTTCCTCTCACAGGAGATACTCGGGCCATCCGAAGGAAGGGCTTTTTTGAACTCCTGGCACTTACTGTCCTCATGAGATGAGATGGTGCACCATTTCACAGTTTTATCAGGGACAGCCAGACACAGTCCTAGGAGAGAGAGGCCAGAGGTCCCTGAGCCATTGGGAGAAGCCAGCACCCTCTAAGGGTCTTGAAAGCTATGTCCTGCGTCCTGTCCTTCTCCCACTCATGTCTGTGAACTCTGCAGGGCACAGGTCCCACTGCATTCTGAGGCTGGGCAGCCCAGTGACCTCCCACTTAGCTGCTGAACACCCTGCGCTGACCAGAAGGGTGCCAGCGTGACCATCAGCCCTCACTCGGAGACCATATCTCCTCCTCTTTGTTCACTGTGCCTTCTCTCCTCATCCCGGGGATGCCATGGTGTATAAGCCTCATTGGGGTGACAGATGATTTTTAACCACTTCAAGGCATTGGCTTGATACCACAAGCTAGGAAAGCTGACAGGATAGAAATCAATATTTTCAAGAAGTGAGGGTTCAGAGACTGATGCTGATTTAGCCCAGGTCACCCAGCCTGTGAGTGGCTGAGACTGGCTTTGAAACCAGGTCTCCAGTCTTTGGTCTCTGTCCAGGGAACAAAAGAAGATAACATTTTGTACTATTTTTCCTCTGCTTGGCTACTAGATAGAGGTAAATGATTGCTAAGATAACAAATTTGCCGTGTCATCCTGTGTTCCGGGAATAACTAGAAAGTCCACAATGGTTGGTTTCCCTCTTGTTTCCAGTGACTCCCTTCACCAACTTTCCCCTCCCTTTGGTTGCCATTAGGCGCAGCTAAACTATGTCTGTAGTCATAAAAATCCATATAGTTACAGATGTATCATCCCCATTACAGGAGCACTGGCACTGCCCCCTCAACCTCCTGTCATCTCCACTCTGTGATCAGCGCAAAGCTGGAGAGGAGGAGGGTGCCAGTTTTCCAGGATGGATCCAGAGACCAATCACCCTTATTCCACCTCTGCCATGGGAAATTACAGGAGGCATCAGGAGCTGGTGCAGACCCCCCGCCCCCCCAAACCACCCAACTAGACTCTGCTGGGAAACTTCTCTGCTGAGGTCCTGTGGGTAGAAATTTGTCCTAAATCATGCATTCACTTTACACAGAGCTATAAGATGTGTGTATCTGAGGTGGGGGCTGTGGGGGGTAAAAGCAACTACTGTGGGGTTGACTCTCAAGGGGAAACTTTTTTCATGAGTGACAAATAACTAAACATGGAAATCTTCAAAGGTGTAAAGGACAAAAAGGGTGCAAGAATCCCAGCAGGTTGTGAAAGCGAGAGAGGTGATCCAGTGAAGGACATCACAGCACGAATGTGTGCAATCAAGTCCACTCTGCTAGTACCTGGATCCTTGACTTCACCTGACTCTCGCAGGCTGAGACTATACCTACCCTTCTCACTGATGAGGACCCGAGCTCTGACTTCAAATTCCATGTTCTGAGCCGCTCAGAGGCCCTGCCTCACATGCAGGACTTCATCATTACCAAGGGCACCCATGGCATGTCAGACTGCGAAGGGGTCGGGTGAAATCCGGTGAGGCCATGAATGCCCCCCTAACCAGTTTGAACTGGACTGAGAAAGCCACCCCAAGGGGATTTGATAAACACGAAAGAAATGCTCTATTTTATTCTGTTGCACGACTACATGACTTACTGGACTAAGAAAGCAAAAAGGGAGAACGTGCAAAGGTGGCAGAGATACAAGCAGGAGCTGCAAATAAGAGCAAGGGCAGAGATGTCCCTGAGGCGCTGAAGCAGGTGCAGGGGTACGGGCGGGACCGGGGAAGCAAAGGCCATCCTGCTTCCAGTCCAAGCGCAGCGCGGATCCCAGGGTGGAGCGGGGTAGGTAAGGCGCGTCCGCGCTGGTAACTTGGCGCTGCCGTGCGCGCTCACTCACCCAGCACCGCGCAGGCCAGCAGGGCACGGATGGCGAGCCTCATCCTCCCGGGTCCGCTGCGTGCGCTCGCGAGCACGGACTGACCAGCTTCTGCGCCGCCCTCCTGCGCACAGCGCGCCTTTATCCCTGAGCCGGCCAACCCAGCGCAATCTTTGTCCTCCCGTGTTTGCGCAGCCGGCTTGCCCAATCTTCCCTCGGCCCTCCCCCTTCATTCCTCACCCCTGCTGATCACCTCATTTCCCGAGCTCGAGCTTCGGGACAGACCCGAGGATGGCATCGAGCCCAAAAGTGCTGATAGGAAGGGAATTAAAGAAAGATTACCCCCTTGCTAATGCGTGCCCCCTCTGTGCCAGGAACGGCTACCGCGAGCTGGGGGTGGGGTGGTGGGGAGCCGGGAGGCTCTGTTGCGGAATGCCTGGGCGCTAGAGCTGGTCCTGCGCAGTCTTGTGCGTTCCCTCCGCGGATGAAAGCGCTGAGCGGGCGAGGGAAGGGATGGCGCAGAGCCACATGAGGGCAGGAGAATGACGGGAAAAAACCTCCCTGGGAGAGGGTATCAGAGGAAAATAAAAATGACCTCAAGTCAAAGACAGTGCTCTCAACACCCTTCACTTGTTCCCGGGTGTCCTGGAAAACTCTCCTGAGCTCTTGAAGGCCCCAATCAGAAGCCACTCTCTTCCCGGGGCCCGCTGAGCTAAGGCTCCTGGACTGGAAACCTTCCTTCCCTCATGCAGTCTGCCAGATACCTTACCCTGGGGCAAGTCACGGAGGAGACATTTCTCTCCCACAAGAAAAGCTGCTCAGGAATGGGGGTGATCAAGACTGAAAATCACAAAGTAACAAATGTGCACAGACTGATCTCCCTGCCCTGGGCCATCCTTGGCTACCTCCAGCTAAGCTCCCTCCAGGTCTTTCTGATTCTTCTGATCAGGAAAAATAAGATCCTATATTATACTAATTTAACTTAAAAAAAAATGTATTGGGAGTGACATGACTTTCAAAATACGAACTTTTGGAAACTAATATATTGTGTATATTTCAACTATGAAAGAAATAGCAATTTATAAATGGATGAGACAAAGTTGAAACATTCATTTTTAAATGTCCTTCTTCATATGCTGCCTTCTGTAAATAAATAATACCTCCAGGCAAGATATGCTCTTGGTGAAAGGTCAAGGTTTCTGATGGAAGATGTAGTAAATCCACACCCTAGAGCCTCATCAAGGTGATTTTATGGCTCTCCAAAAACTTGCTTCTTATTCAATCTGATCAGATGATCATGGTTTTTTGGCTCTATACTAAATAATTTATACCAAGAAAATAATTTATCCCAATAAAGACATAATTGCTGACATTTTTGTTCTTGTTCACTTGTATTTGTGCCATCAGAATCATCTTCTAATTCTCTGCAGGAATTGATTTATGGCACTTGTGCAGCTTGTAAAGTTTAGTTGATTACATCACATCACCTAATCTGTACATGCATTTTAATGAACATATGTAAACCACAAAGGCAGAGCAAATGACAGATCAGAAAGTCACAACATCCAGCACCCCCTTCTCTACTCCACCGCCTTTAAAGTGTTCCCCTTTTCCCTCAGGATACCTCGCAGTTTCCACATGATCTGTGTCTACCTGCCCTATAGACCAGGAGGGAGACAGTGTGAATTAACATATTACGGAGTGACTGTTGTTAATCTGTTGTAATGAAAATAGACATCACTAGAAGTTAGGATATATTCTCCAACACCCCAGTAGATCATCTCATATGCAAGGGGTTGTCCACACCCCACTTTAGAAAACACTGTTTTATCCGGGTTTCTGTTTACAGTGGGGATGTAAGAAGAGCCTGCCATCCCATCACCTGCCTCCCAATGAGGAAGATTGGTTGCTGCGCCCCTGTCTTCCTGTTCCTGGCCCTCGTGGACCCTCCTGCTCAAATCATGGGAAACCCAAATCTTGTCAGGAGGGGCATATTCCTACAGCCCCCTGCAACAGGCATCGGGTGGGGTGGGGATGGGAGTTTGGCTTCATGAGCAGGACTTTGAAGTACAGAAATGAAGATGGAGAGGGAAAGTCAGGAGCTGGCTGGATGGCAGGGGCTCTGCCAGCCCAGTGCCCACAGCCACTGATGCCTTCTCTAGGCAAAGGCAGCCAGCTCACAGGGTCAGCCAGGAAGGAAGAAGGAGAATAGCTGAATGTTGATCAATCCACAAGCTCAGGAAAGCTCAGTGGGGGTCATGGAAGGCAGACAGACCTTCATTCTTCCCTCCTACCCTCCCTCTGGCACTCACAGTGACCCTTTCCTGAGGCAACTACTCCCTGCCAGGGACAGCCTACCCTAAGCCCGGAGGGACCACGGTAGCCAGACTGTGTCCTCTCCAGACCAGCCTACCCCATGCCCTGTGTCAGTGGAGCCCTCTGAGTGCAGCCCAAGAGAGGTGCAGGGGATGACTTGCAGAGCCCACAGATCTGGAGGAAGGTCGGGTGTGACATGGAGAGCAGGAGTTCCAAGTCCTCTACATCATGGGTCGGGACCCAGGGCTTTGCTTCCGGTTCCAGAGAAGGACAAGCACAGAACCCTGTGTCTGCTATTCTTTGGAGGTCGGAGTGAGGTTGACAGTGGGATGTACATGTGTGCATGAGCCTGGTCACATGGCTTTGCCCACATCTGTAATGTATATGGGGGTATGTGGTGGTGAAAGGTTAACAACACAGTATTTCATTTCCCTGGTGGCCTGTGACAATTGTGCTCTGTGTTCTCCCTTATGGTGTTTAATTCTGTACCAGAGGCGCTCCTTAGTCAGGAACCTGAGTGTCTCTCTCTTACAACTTGATGGTTAACACACACTGAGAGCTGCACAGGAAATTTACCATGGCCTTCTGTGATGGTGCATTAGAATCCCCATTTCACAGATGAGATGAGGAAACGCGCACTCTGAGAGGTCAATAACTTATCCAAAGTGAGCTGGTGAGTCACATGCAAAATCAGGCCATGTGGCTCCAGAGTGCACATACCCATTCACCAGGAACTGGGATACTGGAAAGACCCAGGGTCTCACTGGTGGCCCCACTGACAGAAGGGTGGACAGCCTACAATTCCTCCACAGGCAGGTTTTGGTCTGCAGGGAGGCTAGAGTATCTGAGAGAGGTATGTGTGGCCCAACTGCAGAATCTCAGACATATTAGCTTATTGTGCTCAAAAGGAGGGGCAGTATCGAATGAGGAAGTGAGATTGGGAACAGGCAGCTAGTCAGGGTCAGGATGCCCCAACTCAGCAAAAACAGGATGTTCAGAAAACTAGCACAATAACAAAGAGACAGCCAAAAGCTCATTCTGGGAAGACGAAACAAATTACCCAAAAAAAGGAGACCCAGTGGGCTCACAACCAATCAGCAGGGGACACGACACCGAGATACCTAAACCCTGGGCCCTCTCTCCATGCCCATATAAACTCCTGCTTCTTGACCCTTCAGTGGCAACTCTTTCAGGACCCCTCTCTGCTCATAGAGCTTTCCTGTCCTACTTACCCAACAATAAATGTCTTGCTTTTCTGCCTAACCCTGATCTCGATGTTGAATTCTTTCCTCGGAGAGACAAGGACCAAGAGCCACTGGGGTCTGTCTCCCAGACTCCAGCCCAATTCAGTATCATGTTTTCAGCCCTTCCATGCATCAGGTACTGTCCTAGGGCAAGATCTTGGGATCTTGACCAGTTACCTTAAGAGATAAGATCTCATGGGCCTCCCCTGGTGGCTCAAGCAGTTGAGCGCAGCGCTGTGAAGCTGTCCACAGCTGCTGCAGCATGGGTTCAATCACGGCCGGCGGGAGAGGGTCCTACATGGTGTGGCAGACCTCTCCTGTCGCGCCCGCTGCTCCCCTCAGCAGTGTATTTCATCAGTCTGCCTGTTCTGTCCCCCGCTCTGGCTCTGGTGAATCCTCTCACCCTCCCAGGCATCTGGCCTATACCCCGGTCCTTGTGTAGATAAAATAAATAAATCTTTAAAAAAATTTTAAAAAAGATCACAAAGATCACAAACCCACTTTGCAGATGTGGACTATAATAAAATGACAGATCCTCCCTCAGAGTCTGGGCCCACCTTCTCTAGGCCACAGGTGCCTTCTTGACACTGACCTTTATTTTTACAGAAGAGGAAGGGGAAAGAGAGGAAGAGCGGGGGAAAGGGAAAGAAGGAAGGAGGAAGGGAGAAGAAAGAGAGGGTGGGAGGGAGGATGAGGAAAGTTACTAAGGGCTTCAGTTACAGATCAAACCAAGACTTTATTTTTTTTTATTTTTATTCATTTTATTTTATTTTTTATTTTTTTACATTTGAAGAATAGGTGTATTAGGGAAAGGGATGGACGAATAAAGGACACGTGCATAGACACAAGCGGGCAGGAAGAGCTGCCCCGAAAAGGACAGGTTTGCTGAGAGAGGCCTGCATGGTTGCAGGCAGCGGCGGCCTTCAGGAGAGCTGCCTCTGTGGAAGGTCAGTGAGGAGAAGTCCCGCCATGATACAGGTCATGGGCAGGCAGGAAGGCTGTGGCCCTGCAGAGGGAGAGAGTTGGTTAAAGGAATCACATGCATCGTCACAAATGGGCAGATAGGGTGCTGCCCAGACCAAACCAAATCTTGACCCTTTTTTTTTTTACCATAAACTGCAAAAACCTCTTCTTACATTTCAATCGGATTAGCCCTCTTGTAGAAAAAGCTGAACTTGTGTGTACGTGCCCGGGGTTGGGTAGCTGACCTGAGGAGGAGGGACAGGAAAGCACTGGTCCTCTGAACCAATATTTGTTTCCAAGTGTTGCCTCATTTACAAAGAAGCAGAGCAAACAAAGAGCCTCTGTCTGCTTGACCCAGCCTCTCCTCTGCCTCCCCCTCCTTGCTCTCTGCCCAAAACCAGGGCTTCTGTGCAAGACCTGAGTCTGGGTCATCAAGAAGGTGGATTCTGTACTGAGAACGGAGGCTCACACACATGTTATCCCATATGCCTGCTGGCTCAGGGACAGTGTGGCAAAGTAGGTGGTACAAGGACAGGCAAGGTCCTTTTGGGAAAATATCAGGCAATTTGAAATGCCAGATATCCTTACCTCTGTTTCAGTTCTACCCCTCAGACGTCCTTAAAGAAAGGAAGATTCTCAGGTTTCCTTTCTTTCCCAGGGGAGTCCATGCAAATATCCTTTTTATGAAGATCAATCTAGAGCCTGCGAATCTATCAAGCAGTTAAGAAAAATTAGAACAATTTTATACATGCTCATGCAGGGAACAGAAAAAGGAGTATTTCCTGAAGAATTTGCTGAGACAGTAAGAACAGATTGAAAGCAGATCCATCAAGGACATAATGACAAAGTTAAAAAAATACCCAAACAAAATATCAGCAAATTAAATCCATCAATATTTAAAAGGGATACCAAATCATTACCAAGTTGGGCTTATTCTAGAATGCAAGTTATATTT